TGACACATAAATTTAAAAAAACCACCACTGAAAGACTATTCTCCAAAGAAATAGAATTAAAAAAATTAAAATTTATATGAAACCATAAAGGCCTTGAATAATTAAAGGAATCCTAATAGAAGAAAAAAAGGTATCATCATACTTAACTTTAAACTCTACAATAAATCAACAGTAATTAAAACAATATGGCATTAGAATAAAGATACATGGATCAATAGATCAGAATCAAACCAGAAAAAAATTCACATATGTATCAATGCTTAGTTTATGATACTGGAGCCATGATCAGACAGGAAGGAGAGACTCTAACATGGTGCTGGGGAAAATGCATGGTCACATGTAAAGGAAAAGTTGGTTCATCCTTAAATTCAAAATGTATTCGAAACTAAGCTATACGGCCCCCAACAACAAAAGATATAGAACAAAACACTGACAACACATTTCATGACATCAAAGATAAAAAAATCTTTTTGGAGACTCAAGTTCTCTGACAAAGGAAGTAAATGCAAAAGTAAATAACTGGGATTACTTAAAGTTAAGAAGTTTTTATACAGAAGAAAATATTAGTAGAATAAAATGGTACCTTATTGAGTGGGAGAAAATATTTGCATATTATACAACTAACAAGGGGTTAATATCTTATGGACAAACTTATTCAATCTGGCAACTAAAAAAGGCCAACAGCAAATTAATAGTTGGAAAGCAGAGCTTAAGAGAAACAATTAACCAAGGAGGTTGTCTAGAAGGCCAACAGATACATGGAAAAATCTTCATCACTTTTAATCCGGGACATGTAGGTTGCATCAATGAGATACCAACTCATTCAGGTAAGAATTCGGCACATATTAAAAAGAACTGCTGGAGAAGATGTGGGAAAAGAGGAACTCTATTTTATTACACTCTTGTTGGGAATGTAAATAGTGTAAAACCATCTGGATTTACCTTAAAGATCTAAAAATGGAAATAGCCATATTGCCAGCTATCCAAACATTAAAGCATTAACTCAAAAAAGTGATGCTCCACAATATTTATGCAGCACTATCTATAATACCTGTTATGGAAACAACCCAAGTATCCACTGACGGAGAACTGGATTAAGATGTGGTATATCAACACATGGATCATTTCTTAGTCATAGGGAACATGAAATATTGATGTTCATAACAAAGTGGAAAGAGTGCAAAGCAATTATGTGTAGAAAGCAGGTCAGAAAGACAAAGATAAATATTGGATGGTTACATAGAGGATGTTTAGACAGAACATGATAGTTATAAAAAACTAGTCAACAATAAATGAAGTAAGGTTTCTGAAGTCAAGGAGGAAGAAAGTATTATGAAAATATAGAGGAGAGTAATGGGGAATGGGTAAGTGATAGTTTGGTTCAATGAAAATGAAAAGCAACAACTCCTAAGAGAAAAAAAAAAAGTGTTTCACTGCAGGCACATACTGTATTGTGGTTAAGATCTCTGCTACACATTAATTTAGGAAAATCAATTCAAACCTGATCAAAATTGTCAAGGAGCTTTTCTGGCATTTGATAAGGTGACTGTGTTTTAAACAAGTGCATGTGTAAGAATTTTTAAAAACTGAGAAAGAATGAATTGGCAACTGGTCTGGCACACATCAGTTATATTAATGACAAGGTTTGAATAAGGGAACGATCAGAGGTGCCCCTTACTGAGACACGGAACACTGGAGCAGGCAGAATGGCAGTGGGTTTGGCAGGAGAGCTTTGCTGGGTACATTCAACGTAAGGAAAGCATTAGACCTTCCAATGAATGTGCAGATTGTCAGATGGTTGGGCTGCAAAGATTATTTGAAACCGTGACATACCACAACTTTACATTTTTGTTTCCTATCAGAGGATAACTGGTAAAAGTATGTTCAGATCATCATTTTGAAATATATTTCATTTTAATGTGATTTCTCTTCTCTAAAATCACTAATCAGTTTTGATCTCCTACAAGCATGCAAAACGTCTGACATTGAAAATATCCTCTCCATTGTCAGGACGGCTCTTTCACTCCCCCGAACCCAAAACACTGCCTTCGCCTCTAAGAAACAGACTGTGCTCCAAACTGGCTGTAAAAAAACCCATGTCTTTTAACCTAGTTTTGTGGGCACTGAGAGCTTCAGATATCTATGTTCCTGCCAATAATCTCTCATTATGAGTCAGCACCTACGTGAATGGTCTTAGTCCTACGACTCCTGCATTTGAAACATTTCAAATCTCCTTTTCAAACTATACAAACCCAGTAGTGATTATATTTGAATGAATTTCCAATCATGATCACCAAAAGTGTATTTCTAATAAACATACTTGGCACTCTACCCAAAAAGAACACGATCCATGTATAAAATGTAAAGAAGCCAATGAGATGTTTCCAAATATAAACAAGCAAGACACTATTGTCAACCTAGAGGAGCAAGACAAAATGCAGTCACCCTGTGAAGAAATTGGCCAACAGCAAAGGGCAATGATCACCCATCAGGACTAATGAGACAACCACCCCACAGGCCCATGCGAGTCCTAGCCAAGTCCCTTCTTCATTGTCAGGCTACCAGCTACAGGCTTTAGGCGCCTGCCCCAGGAAGGGGCAGCCAGGCTGGAAGAAAAACTATACTTTGTCTTCTAATTACTGTAGTTACCCTCATTTAACATGCAGTAGAAAAACTGGTTTTTGGTAATCCATCAAATATGTGATCTCAACCAAACAGGGCAGAGTGCGAATTCCTTAGGTAACATGCGAACACACACGTACTTACATGCACACATGAGCATACACACGCTCCAGACACTATGGTCAAGCATGCCATAGAGTTGTTTGTATATTGTGAAACAATCTGAGTTAGGAAACTATGATTGTTGCCACCACCATTTATTATCTAGTTCATAACTAAGTATAGGACACGAGAGTAATGCTAGAATTGCAAAGAAGTCCTGCCCTTAAGGGGCTTACAATCTTATCAGGGGGAGTAAAACACATAAAAGGCTGGACAGTTAAGAAAGCAGATGCTAACAACAGCCACGAGAACTCAGCAGCATAGTTTAAGAACACACGATTAGGAGTTACAAAGCCCAGTTTTGGTCTAAACCACATAAGTCGCTTAACATCTCTGGGTTTGCTAACCCAGCTGCACAATAAAGTGGTTAGATTTTGAGGCTGTCTACATCTGTTTGCATCATCATGATTCTGATTAAAAGCTGAGGAAAAGTTTTGTGGAGGAGGTGGCACCTGAGCTGGAAACCGAAGAAAGACAGAGAAGGCATTTCAGAGCAGGCAAGAGATACTGAGGTAGGCAGAAACATGGGGGTTGGAGAGAAAAATGGCCAAGGGCCACAAGGAACAAGGGGAGTGGGAAATGTGTGATCATGGTAGCCCTCAGGCACACCAACCCCTCACGTTTACATCTAGTCAGTTACAGTACATAATTCCAGAGTAGAAAATACCAGAGAGAACAATGGTGGCATTTATCAAACATTTCAATTTCCAGAGTATATAAAATAATTTAACATTATACTTCTACCTCTAGATTTAAAATTGATACCAATAAACTGTTCCAATTGCCAAAATGTAAACCAATTCACTTAGTTTACATTCCTAGTAAACATAACTAAGTCTCTTATTTCAACAGGACATTTGATACAAATTATCCCAATAATTCTAACATTTATTTTCTATTATGTTTCTTGCTCTGTGGAAATAGGAACAAGACAAGGTCCTTGTCCTTTTAGAGCCCACGGGCTGGGAGGTAAGACAAACAACTGTGACTACCTGGAATTCACTGTGATGCACGTGTGTGGTCAAGGTATGAACATAAGGCTCTGGAGTAAAAAGAAGGAATCATCCATTCTGCAGTTTTGGCCACGGATTAGAGAAGAGGGGACAATGGGTAAGAAATGAGTTTGGCAGGGAGATAGTGTCTGCAGGGAAGAGGCTTCCAAGTAGCAGGCCCATGGCTACAGAGAGCAGAAGAGCATGGTGTAGCCAGACCACACTGTACAGAGCAACAGCCAGCAATTTGGACACCTGGCTTAGCCCTATCAAAGCCAGGTGCTACTGCTCCTCCTATCACAGGTATAAGATCAGGAAGAACCAGGAAAGAAAGTGAGCAATGAGGTTCTGTCCCTCATATGCAGTCACTGTATATCCATCTAAGCAAATTAACACTGTTCAGGCCTTTGGCTCCCATGACCGTTCCCACCCTCTGTCCGTCGCTTTCTGATCTACTTCCCATTTTCCTTAGAGTCTTCAAAGGAGAACTGGAACTGAAAAAGTATAGGAGAGGAGTAAATGACCAGGACTAGACATGTACACATATGGCTAATCAGGTTACCAGGAAGTAATGGTAACTGTACTGTACAAAGGTCTGCAGAGGAAGAAAACATTCAATTTTTTCAGTTTTCTAAAAGTGGCTAATTTGTACCAGTGTTGGAAAAACTCATTCAACATGGGAAAAGTATACAGAACCTTTGCAGAAGACTCCATTTCCTAAACTATTTTCCATTAAATATCAGTATTACAAACATCAATACAAGAGGATTTCAAAGTTTATCTTCACATGATTTCAATCTGCTCAAATTGCATTGTTTGGCTTAAAAATAAAAAGATAAAATACGTGATTCCAAATCTCAGGTTCTGAGCTACTACCAAATATGTTAACACATGAATAAAATTTAGCAAAGAACATGGAGTAACTGGTAGATGCAAATAAGTCATCCCTTTTAGATACTAAATCCCAGTTTCTCATGTTACAGAGCCAATTCTACAAAAATAACACTTCCTTGAAATTTCCTTTTATCATGAAGAAAATAAATCTGTGTATTTTCTTTAACATGCATTCTTAATTATAGTATGCCAAGACAAAATGTCTCATATGAAAGAAATCTTAGTGTAATCCTAAAAACATGCATATGCATTTAGTGGGATCTTCTCCATTTCTAAATAAATTACATGCATGATATATGTTAACCAATAAAAAAAAAAACCAATGAGAATTCAGGACATTTATTATTATTATTTTTTTTTTTGCATGGCGATTTAACTACTGTACAACACACACAGAAAACAAACCCACAAAGCAACGGTGTGTAATAGGTAGTGAGAGACACTTAAAATAAGCATATTTAATGTGCCTACAAACAGGCCCTCTTTTTTTTAGGCAACAAAAAATTTTGAGTCCTTGACACCTTCTCACACTCACCTAGCACCACTGATGCAAGGACTTACAGTAAACATGTATAATCTCATGCTTAAAATCTAAAGCATGCAGTGAATAAAATTTATACGTTGTGATCTACTTTTCTAAGTATGCAATACATACTTCTAATATTTTATAAACATTAAATTACCCTGCAGTATTTTGAAATTTTAACATTAATGCAAAACAACTTTTGAAAGACTTAGTAAATAAGCTTTCAAGGATCACCTCTCGGCTGTTTACACAGGCATTGGTTTGGTTAAGTGGGAAAATGGCAGCAGCCTCAAGGTTCATACTGAATGCAAATGGTATATGCACATGTCAATCCATGTAAAAAAATACATATATACACAGATGGCACAAAGATTGTGCAGTTGGAATCACCAGTGCAAATGCATGCATTTGAGGTACTTATTTTTTCCATGGTCAGGTATAATTATGCATAGTCATGTTTCCCAAGTGCTAATTATTTCAGACCTGATCAAATGAAAAGCTGTAAGAAGTGTAAATATAAGGTATTTATATAGTTAGTTTCAAAATGCTATGCTTTTAATCAATGTTTAACATTATACATTCACATATTTAGTTTAAAATATTTACCAATCAAGAAATTTTCTCACTGTAAAGAGACTGACTGGTAATTATACCTGGCCAAGTGATTTAAATAGCATACTTGAAATTCTAGCAAGAACTGTAGTAATATAGTAAAATACTTCATTATTGCTTCATTGGGCTGAGAAACCTAAAAGGCATAGATACACAATGCTCAATGATGAAAAGTGAATACCCAGAAGAGCGGTGCATGCCCCCAAATGGCCTTTGCTCAATAAAAACTAAGCACTTTCTACATTATCAATGCCATTGGCATCCACATGGATGTCAGATTCCCCACACAAAGATGAGGGAACGAAGCGGCTAACAGTGGGACACAAACAGCTCTTAAGCTCTGGTAATTCTTGCTTCAGGCGTTCCAACTGCTCCACTTGAAATATATTTGGCTGTTCAGGCATCCAATCATATATCCTATGATGAAACAAACACAAGACACATAAAATAGTGTAATTTATGCTTTACTTAAGACCTGTTTGATTTAACCTTTCCAGGAGACTTCACTTACACAATGCCAGGAATATCCACATGCGAGACTTTATTCCTTTTTTTTAAAAGATGCAAGTATCATTTCTATTTAGAAATCTTTCTCTTCTCCCCAGTCTTTCCAAAATACAGAACAGTTGCAATTCCTTTTGTACCCCTGATATAAGAGCTGATCACAAAACAAATGGATCAGAAAATGAAATCTATCCCTTAATAGTGACTTCTTTAAGTATCTTTTCTCCAAGTCAATCAACACCTTGAGGTAGAGCTTACTGTCCAATCTTGTCTCAGAGCACTAAAAAGCACTTTTTCTCAATAATCTATTAAAAATAAAGGGATTAAAAAAAATCTATGAGAGACAGGCAACAAAATTTTGGAAACTGGAAAACATCTGGATAAATAGTAACAGTATTTTCAGATAGTGTAATGGAAAAGACCAAAATGAAAGCCAGTAATGGAAAAAGCAAAAAGGGTAAGTTAAAAGCAGCACCAAATTCCTCTAAAATTCTGAGTTACCTAAATAATGTCAAGTAGCAGAATGAGTTGTGGTAGAAATATAGAGTGAAATATTAGCGGGACATTCCTCCGTAAAGGCCATATATGACAAATCTACTGAAAGCTTTTCCTCTTAGATTTTGTACAAGATAAGGATGTCTACTTGAACCATTACTAGTCAACAGGATATTGCAAGTCTATGCTAGACCAATCAGGCAAGCAAATGACATAAGAGGAATTAGGGAAAAAGTATTAAAATTTTGATTATTTGCAGATGATATGATAATATACCCTAAAAGGTGCACTAAAACACTAATTGAAATAATAAATCAATTAGTGGCAAGAGTACAAAATCAATCTACAATATCAGTTGGGTTCCTGTATGTAAACAATGAAAAAAGCAAACTAGAGAAACAATCCCATTCACAACCATAACACAAAAAGAAATAATTGGAGTAAACTTAACAAAGGTGAAGGATCCACACAATGAAAACTGTAATATATATATATGATATGTATATCATATATATAATACATAATATATATAATATACATAGCATAGTATGTATCACACATACACACACACAATATACACTGTTAAAGAAATCAGAAAACAACATAAAGTGACAGAAAAATATATCCTGTTCATGGACTGGAAGAACATATGTTGTTAAAATTTAACATTTTACATAAAGTATTATATTTTGATAGGGATTTGATAGGGATTGAATGCAATCAAGCTGACAGTAGCATCTGTCAAAGAAACAGAACAAAATAAATTCATATGGAAGCACAAAAGGTCCCATAACCAAAACAATCCTGACAAAACCGAGGAGGAAGAGCAGCAATTATCACATTCTCAGACCTTATACTAGAGTTACAGCAGTCAAAACAGTACCATTTTAGAACAGACACACACAGGCCAATGGAATAAAATTGAGAGCCCAGAAATAAACCTGTACATCTACGGAAATTTAATCTATGACAAAGGAACCAAGAGTAGATGATGGAGAAAGGAGAGTTTTTCAATGAATGGTATGGGGAAAACTGTACAGCCACAGGCAAAAGATACTAGACCACCATTTCACGCCTTACACAAAAATTAACTCAAATGATTAGAGGCATGGCCACAAGACTGAAAACTATAAAATATGTTGAATAAAAAAGGTCAGACACTCCATAACACTAGCTTCAGAAATGTCTTTGGATGAATTGTCTCTAATGGCAAGAGAAGCAAAGGCAAACATAAACAAATGGGATTACGTCAAAGAAACCATCAGTAAAATAAAAAAACACCCTACTGAATGTGAGAAAATATTTGGACATAACAAAATCAAATACTGTTCAAAAATTAAGAACAATATAGGAAAAAAAGTACTTCATCTGGAAACAAAACTAAACAAAATTTGCACATAACACATTTGACAAAGGGCTGATATCCAAAATATATAAAGAACTCATGCAACTCAACGAAGAGTTAACAATTAACTCAATCAAAAATTGGGCATTAGAGCTAAACAGACATTTCTCCAAAGACACAGAAGATGGCAATTAGGCATATGAAAATATGTTCATCATCATCTATAATCAGGGAATTGCAAATCAAAACCATAATGAGATGCCATCTTACACACAAAAATGGTCCACATCAAAACAAACAAACAAAAAAACACACAACCCAGAAACAAGTATTGGTGAGGATGTGGGGAGAAGGGAAACTGACCTTTGTCCACTGTTGGTGGGGGATACAGACTGGCCCAACCAACAATGGAGAACAGTGGAGTTCCTCAAAATATTAAAACTAAACCTAACATGACCCAGCAATTCCACTTCCAGATGTCTATCCAAGAGACACAAAAACACTAATTCAAAGGTATATATGCCTCCTATGTTCACTGCAGCCCTACTTACAACCGCGAAGTTAGGGAAACTACCAAAGGACAGAGGAGTGGATCAAAGCTACTCAGCTATAAAAAAGTTGAGCTCTTTGCCCTCTGTAATAATGTGGATGGAACTGGAGAGGATACTAAATGAAGTAAGTCACAAGGACTGAGGCAACCAGAGGGGATGGTAGTGGGATGGAAATGAGAGGAGGAGGGGAACCATGATTACTGGTGTATCAGTGGTGGGCATGGTGTGAAAATACATATCGGCAGGGTTTAAAACTATAATACCCAGAGATACAAGGATGTAAACACAACTTTACTTCAATAAACACGTTTTTTAAAAAAGCAAGAAAAGTAAAAGGGTAAGGTTTATATATGAGATAATTTTAATTGTTTAAGTGACCTTTACATAAAAACTGAAATTCATTTAAAAATGAATTTAATTGAAATTCAAAATTAAATATATAAATAAGAGACACACTGGAGGGGAAGGGGTAGGGGTACTAGGCAAGGATATTTAGAACCTAAGTTTTAAAAAATTTTATATGTATGAAGAGAATGAAACATTATATATTATAAATTTTAACTTTAACAACATGAAGTCATGACAAATGGGGGAAAGTACAAATGGTTTAAACCATGCAAAACTAAATGGTATATCTAATGATAATGTTCTTTAAACATGGTTGTCTGTTACTATATATTTTTAAATCACTGAGCAGAGATAGTTTATTTTTTATAAAAAGAGAGAACATTGCCCAATTTATTCCCATATAAAAAAAGTAGACATAAATCAAAAGGTAAGTTAAAGGCCATCTTACTCAATACATTATACAAAATGTCTAAATTTGATAAATACAAGGCTCAATACCAGAAGAGATAGGTGAAAAAACTGGGGCTCAGCCATTTGGCTAGAAACAAAAAAAGATAGGGTACAGGTAGAGGGGACTGCTGGCTTTTTATTAAATCTCTTACAAATACTTGAATTGGGCCTCCTTTGTCTCAGCACCACCAAGCTATCACCAGCCACTGCAGAAAGAGTTCAATCCCCAACCAGGGAGGTGACCCACGTGGCACAGTGGACCTCTCCAGTCTTGCCCGCTGCTCCTCTCAGCAGTGTATATCAGTAGATACACTTGTTCTACTCCCCACTGTCTCTGGTGAATACTCTTACCTCCTGCACCTCTGGCCTAAACCCTAGTTCTTGTATGCATAAATAAATGTTTAAAAAAAGAAATGAGTTTTAAACTACACACATATGAAGTCCCTTGATTAAAACAAACTTTCAAGGGTAGAAACCAACTCAGATACAATTCACCTCACTTCTCAGACCCGAGCTGGAGTCAGTGCCTCAACACAATCCTTTTCTGATTTATGTTTTCATCTCTACTTATAATGCATATCCTGTCAATTTTCTTTTTTTTTTTTTAAAGATTTATTTATTTATTCATACAGAACTGGGTTTAGGCCAGAGGTGTGGGGCGGCGAGAGGCTTTAGCAGAGATAGAGTAGGGAGCAGAATAGGCAAATCAATTAAGTACATTGCTGAGGGGAGCAGTGGACGGATCAGGAGAGGTCTGCTGCGCCATGTGGGTCACCTCCAGGGACGGCAGGGATTGAACTCATGCTGAAGTGGCTTTAGTTTCTTAGTGCTGTGCTTTAACCCACTGCACCACCAGGGAGGGCCCATATCCTGTCAATTTTAATCACTCCCTCAAATCCATTTTCAAAGCTTACTCTTTAAAACTATTCTTATTGACCCCAAGCCAGGGTGAATTCCCTTTCTTTATTCCTTTATGTATCACATCGTGTGATCTCCACTACACGTCAATATTTGGCTCTAGCCAAGTAAGAACTTGGAGATGATGGACTTGACAAAAATATACACAAAACATGGTGTAATATAATCTCACAATACACTTTTTTTTTGTCTAAAAATATTTGCAATCACTCCTTTCTCCACCAAGAAAGGAATATTCCTCAAAGTTTTACAAAAGCTTATTAGTAATTAGTTCCTTCAAATTACTAATTTAACTTTTTACTTTCCCCTTAATTAACTGGATGTCTCCTAAAAAGAACTATCAATTGTGTTGCTCAATGCAAAATTGATCATGTGTCAGAAACACAGGTAGGCATTTGGGTTGCAATTTTAAAACCAGATGAATTCAGACAAAATAGTGGGGGAGACAAGTTTTATTTAAAAAGTGATATAAGTATACAGGACAAACAAGAGCTAAATCCAAGGGAAGTAGTGTGTGTGTGTGCGTGCGTGTGTGTGTGCGTGCATGTGTGTGTGCGTGTGTAAGTAGGCTTGTAAGCTTTTTATCATTTAATCTTCAAATAATGCTGCCAAGATTAGCAAGTCTGACAATTTCTCAGTAAACATCCCTTCTAACTTAAAATTTCTTTGTATTTAGCAACCTTTTCATCTCTCAAATCAGTGGTTCTTAATCTTACAGCATAAACACCAAGAGTTAAAAAAAAAAAAGGGAAAAGATGTTAACAAATATTTGAACTACCACTATGTGTCATATGTTGTTCTAAACTCTGGAGATAGAACATGAGAGCAGATAAAAAGCCTTATCCTCATGGAGCTTATTTGTGTGTGTGTGTGTGTGTGTGTGTGTGTGTGTGTGTGTTGGTGGGGAGTAAGTTGGGTTTAGAATAGAGGCCCAGGGAAAAAATAAACAAGTTATGTGTGTATTATTTAAATTATAGTATATAAACTTAATATATACGTGTTATATATATTACATGGGTATATCAGGTAGTGGTGAATGCAGTGGAGAAAAGTCAAGAACAATATGCGTAGAAGTTGTTATTTGAATTAGCATATTCAGGGATGGCCTCACAGAGGTGACATTTCAGCTTTTTCTAAAGTTTTTCTGAAGAGCGGAAACAGCAAGAGGCCAGTGAGGGGTGGCTTGGGGAATGGCTATTGGAGATGAGGTCATTGAGTTTGAGAACACTCTAGAATAGAGTTTCAGCAGTAACATCATCTGATGTAATTTAACAGACTTCCTCTGGCTGCTGTGTTGATAAAAAAAAAAAAAAAAAAAAACAGCAAGGAGGCAATGATGAGGTAGTCATCAACAAGCAGCCTACTTCAAGGAGTCACCTGAGTGAGAACTGAGGTGACTTACTGGAGAGTGACAACAGTTTATTTGGTGAGTAGATAGATTCGGGATATATTTTGAGGTAGAATCAACAAGATTCTTCTGCCTGACTGGAGTTGGGACACGAAATAAAGAATATAGCCATAAGAGATTCTAAGCATTGACCTGGGAAACTGATAGTCGTCCTTTGGTAGTGGGCATGGTGTGGTAACAAATATCTGAATAGAAGAAGGGATATGCCCATGAATCATATATAATATAAATCAATGCTATATCAACTTTAATAAAAGATAAAGTTTTAAAAAATAAAGCAATTTTAAGTTAAAAAAAGTAGTTTGAAAAAAAGTTTTCATATACTTTAAAAGTTTCAGTATAGAAGAACAGGTGTTGACAGCTGGATATAAGTTTAGAGGTCAGAGGAAAGGTCTGAGTTGGAGATTTAAAAACTTGGGCATAAATAAAAGCATGAAAAGCCACAAAACTGGTGTAGAAAAGAGAGCAGAGGGCAGACACTCAAGAAGAGTGGAACTAGTTACTGAATCCTTGACAAGCTTCCCAAGTGACTATGCTATATTCAGTTTGGAAAAAAAAAAAATCCACTAACAAATTTTAAGATAGCGCTCATGATGAATTTTAACTTAGCTAAGTTTAATATTATTTAGAACTTTATAAGATGAAAACTACTTTTTTTCTAACATTCCATGAAAATTTTTCATGAAAAACAAATACCTATCATAAATTAGACCATTAACTCCAAATTCCTTCAACTTTCTTCTGTTCTCAGGATCATTAGTATCATCACCCCAGCAGAATATGACTAGTCCCTTAGCTTTTGCGTCGTGAATATAGGATGGGTTTCTGAGCAGGTCTTCAGAATGTGCATTTATTCCCTGAAAGAAGAAAATTAAGTTACTCATGAAAAAATTACTTGCAAATGGCGAACACTAAATGTTCATGCTCTTCACTTATCTAAATGATCAGTGTTCTGTTCTCCGAAGTAGAGTAAGCAGGGAAAGAAGATGCTACTGTTAATTTTCTCAAACTAGTTAACAGTCTAACCATGTTCTATGATTCATAAAATATACTCAGAAACTACAAAACTTACCTAACCTAGGTCTGCGAAAAAAAATATTTTGTTTTCTTAACCGCTTTTCATTCTGAGATCTAATAGTATCCTCATTTAATGCATAGCCATTTGCTTGTTATACACAGAACTAACTACTAACCCATTAGATGTAGAAAATAACATGAAGCCTACTCACTACTGTTCTAAAGCATTCAAAATTAAATGCAAATATAACTTACCAGAAGATTTTCAAACTGTGCAAAACTCATTGCAATGGGGGTTGTCCGAGATCTGAGGTCCATGAGTTCAGGATATATATCAGATTTTCCTTGGGTCAAAAATAATATGGGATATTTATTCTGCTTTTGCCGAACCCTAAAAAAAAGGAGCATTTTCATCAGGGAAATAGTTTTGAAATTTTAGAAAATAATAAAAATATAATGTAAACAAACACCCAAAGGCATAATTCCATTACTAATATACAACCACCTGTAGAGCCTTTCAGCTGAAAAGAAAAAATGCTAAACTTGTCTATACAGTAACTAAAATATTCTCAGAAATGGACAACAAGAAAGCCCTCGGAGGCTTACAATCTGGTACGCAGGAAGTTCTAGCCCTGGAAACACAGGGTGTGAAGTGCGGGGAGCCGGTGGGTGCGGCTATGAGAGCTGGAGGGCACCCAGCAAGCAGCTCAGAGGGGATATGAGGCCAAAGCAAGGGTGAAGTCTGGGCAATTTCCTGCCTCAAAGCACATCTCTGCACCCTAAGTTATAGTTACAATGTAAGAATATAGAAGGAAAAAAATGATATTACTCACATTGTACAAATATCTGCATCAAATGAAGAAAACACTATTCTCCTCTTCCCAGAATTTTCTAAGACAGTTTTTAAAATTATATCTAAAAACAGATTCATGTCAAAATATGTCGACAAGTTACCATCCCAAATTCCATCCTTTGTGGAAGAAACAGAAAAACAAAAGCCATTAAATACCTTTGAATTGCAATGCCAGAAAGCAGCCTCGAGAACATCTGGTTCGACTTTTAATTTTACAGATGAGGAAAGTAGAAGCTCTGAAAAGACTAAATGACCTGCCCAAGACCACACTTACTTAGTGGTGATGCAGCTATCATAAAGGTACAAACTCTTCTACACACAACATAATTTCACTATCAATAGGCTTTTATTTTAATAAGGCTATCAAAGTAAAATCTAAAATTCTAGAAATCTACAATGACTAAGTATTTTTGTATCATCTTCATAAATTCATTACCCCAAAGGTTAAAAATCTCATTCTCTAGGTCTCAAACAAAAACAAGTCTCTTAATAGCACCAAGAAACCAAGAGCTCTGTTGATAATAAAATAGTAAATTTTTAAATGTTAGTCATTAAAATAATTCCAGAAGCTCAGAAAATTAAAAATTGCTTATTAGGAATACTGTCCCAAAGGCTCAATTTGAGGACATTAATAGGTTGTTCTGATCAAAACAAATTCCAAATGCCTACTAATACCTAAAATTAACTCCACCCCAAACAACCCTCTAACAATGCTTTCCAACTCTTTACACATATCCCCATATAATATGTTTAAGACCTATATTCTCTCAACTAGATTTTAAGTTCTAGGAAGGCAAAATTTAATTTGATACCAGTGCTGAGGAAATGTCTGGCCCACTGTGGTTAATAATAATTGAAACAAAAGAATGACTTAAGTCTTGCAGTAATGAAAGACATATGCAGACATTTATTTTCCTGGTTAACCATTACTGCCAAATAACAAGAAACTGCTTAGGAAATTTAAAACAAATGCTAAGATGGGATAGAAAAATAAAAACTAGTAAGAATTCTAAAGTTCTTGCTACCCAGGGGTTCTTACAGCTTACTTTGTAAATATGTCCAGAAATCGTCTGTATCAATATGCACATGAGATACATGTAATTTAAAATTTTTTACTATATTAATCACTAATCTTAAAAATCACATATTAATGCAAACATTAAGTATGTTTTATAAAAAAGCTTAATAAGTACTGTGCTCCCTGAAAGAAGTCACATTAGGATTTCAGTTTTACTTTTTTTATTGAAACAAGAGATAGGAATAAATACATTTAAAGAAAGCAGGAAGAGAGGAAAGAAATATGTGTTAGAGAAAATTACTTACCCTTTGCTGGCAGATCCATTTTATTTCTATGTTAAATCCTACATCTTCTGGTAAAGACTCTAATACCTAGAGTTTTGTTAGTGTTGAATTTTGTTTTGGTTTGGATGATATGAATAGTAGAATAAAAGAAAAACGGGAAACAAGTATTATAAAGACCAATCTGTAAGAAAATATCACTGATAAAGATAAAATGTTTTGTGCTTTGAGCATGAACCACTATCTTTTCTCACATTCAAGCTGACAACCTAGTTGAGATTAAGTTACATAAAAATGTCAAAAGAAATCAAACAGCAAAAGCAAGTAGACTTAGACAACATCTGTGGTAACTGATCCCACTACCACAAACATGGCTGCTTAACCTAAACTTTCCACCATTACTATTGAGTATCCAAAGTGAACAACATATGCAGCTTCATGAAGTTAAGTCATTTGTTATCTTTTCTGACTTGTATTCGGGTCAATCTACTACAATATAGCTTATATGAAAAAACATGATTTTTATTTGTTTTAAACATGATGATACTGGCCCTTCCAGGTGGCACAAGGGATTAAAGTACAACACTGCAAGCAAGCCTCCAGAGTTTGATCCCTAGCCCAGGAGGTGATCCACATGATACAGAAGACCTCTCCTGCCCTGCCTGCTGTTCCCCTCAGCAGTGTACTTCATCAGTCTGCCTGTTCTGCTCCCCACTCTGTCTCTAATGAGTCCTCTCACTGCCCCTGCACCTCTGGCCTATACCGCAGTTTTGTATACATAAATAATATCTTAAAAAAAAAGTGATGATACTTCTATACCATATTCATAATCTTCTGAAATAATGTCATCCTCAAATGAAAGATTATGTCTAGGCTCATAAATAAACAAGGCTACATCTATATAAATGAACAAGTAACATAGTGTCAATTTACCTAAATTAAATTATCTAGACAAGACTGCAGTTATTTTGAAAGCCCTAACTAGAAAATCAAATTGAAAATACAAAGCTTGGTTATTAACCTAAAAAAAATTTACTTAGTGTCAAAACATGAAGGCCAGACAAATAGGGCAAAATGAACTTAAAACACTGTGTTTTTAATTTCAATTTACTACAAAAGTTGAGAAATCATTTAACATCTATAGTATTTATAAAAGCAAATAAAGGCACACGAATTGAGTTATAGTATTTATAAAAGTAAATAAAAGCACACTAACTGAATTATATAGTGGTAAGAATATAGGCCCGACTCTAGCTGGGAGTCTATACTAACCAGGTACATGGAAAGTAGAGTACTAAAAGATAGAACTTAATTTAATATGGTCTTTCGGACTGTCCTTTCTCATATCTTTAGCCTTACTTATTTAATATATATCACATTATTACACCATATAGTAATCTATCTTTTCTAAAAGTCATTAATGATCAAAGTCTATGCTAATGTAGTGTTTGACAGTCTTTTTATTGCCATTTAACAAACCAAATTATTCAAATATAAGAAATTAATGTTCTAGTTTTCCTAAGGAACTTACCATTTTAAGAGAAGGAAATGGCTGATTTTCAGAAAAGGAATTTTCTTCCTCTACTACAGATTCTGAAATTTTAAATTACAAATTCAGTAGATAAAAATGCCATTTTATTACTAAGATCATTTTCTAAATTAAGGCAAAAAAAAATCCTGAAGTAATTATAAAATCTTTAACATACTTTGATAGCTCTTGTATTTTTTATTTTTAACTGTTAAAACTCCACTTTCCAAATAAAAGCCCTTTATGAATAAATTAGTTTGCAACACTTATATAAGCATCATAGCCTGTGATCCCAGGAGTAGTATTTTCTTATAAAAATTGTAAAAGTGATGCTATTTCTTAGAATTAACTGCTGTACCATATTGTGCATATGTCTATTTGAAAAATAAAAAGAGTTCAGAAGTTATTAAGAGAGCATATAGTTACTACTGTCCCTTTGTTACTATTACCATTTAACTCAAAACATTGTATCTTAAAACCCAACAATTTTTTCAAGTGATAAAAAATTTTACTAAAAAGAACACCGGACTAATACAAATTCATCAAAGACTAAAATCATGTAAAATTTTTCTAGTTGATAAAGTTAGAGGTAAAAATTCATTTTACTGTTAATAGTAATGAAGTATTTAGAAGTCTATAGTCATACTTGTTCTCTGTGGGTAATTTTGGTCATTTAGCATTTTATAATTTCTTCATAAAGGAATTCCAACTATTCTCTTACTAGAATACAGATAAATATCTATGAGTACCTACTATATGTAGAGCGCTTTAAATGTCTCTGGGAGTATAAAAACATTTTTTCTACCCTTGCAATGTTAATATTCTAGCTGAAGAGATAAGATAGATGTAAAACTAAAGATTAAAAATGGCACCATTAGGGCCCTCCCTGGCAATTCAACAGGTAAGGATATAGCACTCCAAACTAGCCGCAGCCATTTCAGTGCAAGTTCAATACCCCGCCCAGGAGGTGACTCACATGACATGGCAGATATCTCCTGACCCACCCACTACTCCCCTCAGCAGTGTACTTCATTGATCTGCCTGTCCTGCTCCCCACTCTTGTCTCTGGTGAATCCCTCACATCCCATGCACTTCTGGCCCGTACCCTGGTTCTGTATGCATAAATACATCTTTAAAAAAAGTCTTAAAAAAATAAAAAAAAAGTGCACCCCTTTCTTTAAAAAAAAAAAAAAAAGATGGCAACATTAATACTGAAATAAACGGTGCAGACTACTAAGTTCTTTGTGAATTGTGAAAGTAAAGTGGAATTACAAAGAGAATTTGTAGTCAGGACAAGCACTGAAGAAACTGAGACACAGAGTGGATAAGCAATCTCCCCAAGATCACAGTATATGCTAGAGCATGATTCTACATGTGATTTGTCTTCTCTACTTTGTAATGGTTAATATGGTTAGAAAAACACCTAGGTGCAAAATTATAAAGAACTCTGGTTATCAATCTGAGAAAACTCAAAGAAGTTAACAATCATGGTTACTATAAACAGAACAATATATGCACTTGAAAAATCAATATAAAGTCCTCACATACACAAAATTACATTTAATAGTATACTCATTAAAATGACCAAAAGTATGTTAAAATGGACATCAAAATATCATATACTAACTACAAACTGAAAACTGATTCTATTGAATACATACCTTTCAGATCCTTAGATTTTAGTGCAGTCACATGAGTGAGCTAGGAAACAGACATACAAAAGGAAATCAGAAAAAGCCCGTTTTTAAAGCTCTGGTGAAAAGTAGTGCGACTTGAAAAGCTGGAACATTAGAAGTCTATACAATGTAGAAATGTAAGTTTAGTAAGTGCTGACCACTATATATAATTTACATGTACACATAAGATCATATTCCAAATTTATAAATATTTGTGAGCTAGGAAACAATTTATACTCAATTGGCCATTTATCTAGGTATCTTGATGGGAAAGGAAGATGCTCATACAAAGTTACAGTATACCAGAATATACAGAAATATTCAGCCTTTACATACATTAAAACCAACTATAGTGTAAAGGGCAACTGTATAAAAGTGTGTGAAATAAAGGCTGTACAGACCAGATGCAAGCTAAGGTCCTGGGTGAAGTTAGTCCCTTCAGCCTACAGAGACCTAAGGCTTAACCCTTCAGGAATACAAGACCAAAGGGATCCATGGAAATCGTTAACAAAGACAGATGGTTTGGTTTCCTCAATAGAACAGAAAACCAAAACATATATTCTACCCATTTTGACTATGTAATAACCTCCATGTGCAAAGAAAACATTACCATATACAGAAAAGTACACACAGTCTTAAGTTAAAGGATAAATAATATATTATGCTACTATTACTACCTTTAACAACTGCAGTTGGTCAAATGTTAATTCCTTTACTGGAATTTCAAATAATTCAACAGGATCAGCATCAAATTTCTAAAAAGGAAAATAAAGACAAAAACAGGTTCCACATTACTACTGAATATTTACACTAGATACATATGAAAATAACTACTTGATTATTTTCCTACTCCTGTACAGGAAAAATTCTTCTTACTGAACACACCTCTGGGCTCTGACTTTTGTTTTTAATGTAGGTTAGAACAATTAGGGAAAAAAAAAAGCTGTGAGGAAACTATGGCACTGAAGACACAACTAAGAAAAATGCCATTTGCCAGTCATTTCCCCTATTTCCTGTCATGCTGTATACCTATAGTATGTGACATATCCACACTATGAGTTGGAAGTCAACAAGCAAGTGCTATGGAAGGATTAAATTCTGTTAATGAGTTTTTAAACTTCTCCAAACCTTTTAAGATTAGTTAAACCACAGAAACCAAGTGTCAAAAAACCCTGCTGATGAGCTAAGAGCAATGATACTCTACTACACTCATATATATATATATGAAATTATAATATTATTTATTACAAGAAATTATATATAATTTACCCGATTACCTGGTATAACAGAGTATCATGGATACAATAAAATAATGTATTATGACAATAGGGTGAGAACTCTATTATAAGCCTTTTCTTTATGGACAAATTATGTATTAGACTTTAATACCATGCCAAATTATCACACTACCTTGTGAAAATGAGTTAATTTATGACCAACAGATCACTGATCCAACAAATATACTAACATCCACTACACTGATATTTATTCATGTACATATGGTATGAGCCTGTACATGTATAAAGTATTGCTGGAAGGCTATAAACTTCTGGAAGAGTAAGGAAGTAGAGAAGGGTTTTATTTTTTTATTTCATAATCTTCTTAACTAAAACTTTTGTAATGAACATGAATTGGTTTTATAAGAAAAACACCACTTTCAAACTTAACCTAAATACATATAATTCATTACTTACCAATTACCATTCTCTATCCTTTCTCATTTAGCTTTTTGTTAATGTTTCCCTACAATAAAACCAATCTGTTCCATTCTATGAGCTTATTCTGTCATCAAAATAGCACATTTCCTTCCTTCCCTTTCCTAACACCATTTCATAAAAGCAGCCTTCCTTTTATATATATAAATCGTAATAATCCAAACACATATGACTGATCAGAATCCACTAGGAAGCAGAACCAGGTGTCCTTTCATATATTTATAATGAAACATGCAGTGTTTGTGGTACAGTGTCAACAGATGTCAGCAAACTAGCCTTTATTTTAAAATCACTTCAACAAAAAACTGTATGAGACAATTTTAAAGAAAATGTCAAATGAGCTCTCCTACTTTGAAAAATCACTTGATTAAAAGTATACTGAGTTTGGGGCTCTTCCTGGTTGCACAGCAGGTTAAAGCACAGCATTAAGAAGCTAAAGCCACTTCAGTATGAGCTCGATCCTTGCCCACCCTGGAGGTGATCCACATGGCATGGCAGACCTCTCCGGACCCGGCCCCGGCCCACTGATCCCCTCAGCAGTGTACTTCATCAGTCAGCCTGTTCTGGTCCCCACTGTCTCTGGTGAATCCTCTCACTGCCCCTGAACCTCTGGCCTGTACCCCATCGCTGTATGCATAAATAAGTCTTAAAAAATATACATATAATGGTTTAGAAACTATGTAGTCATCACAACTATGTTTGTACAAGAACAGCAATTACAAATTTTTTTTTTAAGATTTATTTATTTATTTATACAGAACTGGGGTACAGGCCAGAGACGTGGAGGGTGAGAGGAGTCACCAGAGACAGAGTGGGGAGCAGAACAGGCTGACTGATGAAGTACACTGCTGAGGGGAGCAGCGGGCGGGTCAGGAGAGGTCTGCCATGCCATGTGGATCTCCTCTGGGGCAGGCGGGGATTGAACTCATGTGGAAGTGGCTTAAGCTTCTTAGTGCTGTGCTTTAACCCACTACGCCACCAGGGAGGGCCAGCAATTACAATTTTTAAGAACTTATATGCATAGTCTATGAACATGTGACACTGAATTCTAACACTACCCTTGACAGTTAATTTTTTTTTTACAGATTTATTTATTTATGCATACAGAACTAGGGTACAGGTTAGACATGCAGGGGAGAGGAGAAGATTCACCAGAGACAGAATGGGGAGCAGACAGGCAGATCTACTGAAATACACTGTAGAGGAGAGCAGTGGGTGAGTCAGGAGAGGTATGCTGCGCCATGTGGGTCACCTCCCTAGCCAGGGATCAAACTCGTGTCACAGTAGCTGTGGTAGCATCACAGTGCTGTGCTTTAACACTCTGTGCCACCATGGAAGGCTCAACAGTTAAATATTTTAACAAGTCTTTTTGTAGCATGTATTTTTATGTTTGAAGTACATATACAGTAAATAAAAATATGGTTAAAAAATTCATTTTCAATCCTCCTTCTGGACCTTCTCTATCTTGTACTTCTTGCCATTCTCATTAGCTCCACTCTAGTTCAGGTTTACAACACTATTGCTTTCTTGCTTCCAGTCTCTAATTGCTTAAATTCCTATTAAATCAGGTTCCAAAATATTAATCTTGAAGTTTAATTTGAATGTTTCCCTTTTTGACTCAAAAGTCTTTCATATTTCCATAGTTCTTAAGTCTAAACTCCTTCATTGAGGCCCTCCACTGTCTGGCTTCAAAGCACTTTTTCAACGTTACTTTTTACATGACTTTTTCTCCCTTGAGTGAAAGAAAGCATAACATTCCATTAAGTTGAGAAAAAAATTGAAGATGAATGAAATAGAAGAACGTTTTAGAAAACAAACCTTGATACTTTTCTTCCCTGCCTCAATACATGGACAATAATAGCAAACTGATACAGAAACAACCTGGAGTGTCCTTTTATTGAATAATATAATAAAGCAATAAAGACTTTAGATAATTTTTTTTAAAGATTTATTTATTTTTGCATAAAGAACTGGGGTACAGGCCAGAGGCTCAGGGGCGGTGAGAGGCTTCACCAGAAACAGAGTGGGGAACAGAACAGGCAGATCGATGAAGTACACTGCTGAGGAGAGCAGCGGGAGGGTCAGGAGAGGTCTGCCACACCATGTGGTCACCTCCCGGGCAGGCGGCAATCGAACTCATGCGAAAGCGGCTTTAGATTCTTAGTGCTGTGCTTTAACCCGCTGCGCCACCAGGGAGGGCCAAGACTTTAGATAATTTTAATATTCCTGTTTCCTCATGCTCTCAATGTTACAGGAGTTTGAGGAAAGAACTGGCAACAATTCAACAAGAAAATCAATTGACCATCTCTACTTAATAATTAAATATATAACAAATATCTTAGTTCTTAAATCTCTTTATCTGACAGTTTAAAATGAAATGAAGGAATTTCAACATACCTTTTTCATAGTCAAGCAACAGGTGAGGTCATGATATACCACAGGCACAAAATCTTTCGAAAGATGTACATCAAATTCTACAAAGGCTGCACCCTAACAGAAATAAGGAAAACAATATTTGAAAACTTTATATTGCCCCAATACATCTGAAACTACGAGGATTTAAGAAATTTATTGATCAGTGTAAAATTATAGACCTGTTTATAAAAACAAAAATATTCCTCATGAATTATTTAATGTAACCCCTTCAAGCTTTTCTAAGTTGGTAACAACTCCTTCTATTATTGTTATTATTAATAATAACATTGTTATGTATCAATAACAAAATCTACTAAATAAAAACAAATCCTACCATCCTTGAAGTTATTATACAAATTAGTTTTCTATTAGTTTAAAAATTGTACATAATGAACACCATTTTAGAAAATAATTTTACTGAGATAAAACTTGAAAATTTGATCCCAAGCTTTAAGAAATAACTCAATACACCAAAACTTCTTCAGAGATATTTCTAACATTAAAACAGCCATTAGAAAACAGACAATTTAAAATGTGGTCCATGAGTTATAATTTCCTAAGAATACAAAAGTAAAATTTCATTAGAACACAGAAGTAAAAGGTTTAATGAAAACTATTCTCAAAATACACAGTCCCTGAAAATTCACAAATAAGGACATATTATTTAGTGAATAAATCAAAACTAGTTTTAAATAATGATCTAGAGGCCAATATATGTTAATACATTTAATGTCAACCTTCAACATCAAAACAATCCACTATTAATACTTCAAAACAATAAAATAACTACTATAACTAATCTAAGATGTCACATATTATAAAATGTATCATTATCTTATATATCACTAAGGGGAAAAATCTGCCAAGCAAACCATAACACAAAGTTAAGAACTGCAAAATAATACTCCATCTTCAAACAATGTTAAAAAATGAAGATGATTTTGAATAGATGTTTCCTCAAAAAAAAAAAAAAGACAAAATTAAACACATGAGTAATCAAATTTATTTGCTAAACTATTTCTAAATAGATAGTTTAAGATATGTAGACTATATTGTGGAATAAGAGAAATAAAGAATGAGATGTTCCTCTCTTTCCCCCCAGTATAACTTTTGGTACAAGGTTTATAGTCAGGTACAGAGGAAGAGCCTGAGGGTGAGGTGTTGGGTAGGGAGAGCTACAGGAAATCTTGTTCTTGATTTTAAATGTCAAGTTGAGTTGCTAAAAAGAACGTTTAATAAAACAGATGTTAACCCTTTATAATAAATTGGATGAGAGTTAAAAAGTTTAACATAATCAAGTTGGTATGCATATGCAGGATATAAACAGACATTTTCAGTGTTATAGAAGATCACTATCAAATCCTTCTATAAGTATTACCTCTAAAATGAGTATCTGAGTAGAGCACATTATTAAGTTGATGAAAACAATGCTTAGTGGGAATATTTTTTCTTGCCCCATCAAAATTTGTTGACTCAAAAAGGCTGCTTATGATTCCTTTGCTTTCCATCCCAATCTTCACCATAAATCTAACTGTAAATCCTTAAAGATATTTTATGTTCAAACAAACATTCAGAAGAAGCATAGTACTAGCTCATTTAACCTATCGTTACAAACTGGAGTAGACTCCTCAGGCCCATGTTTCTTTTCATCTGCTCTACTTTTAGGTTGTCTGAAGTTGTTTTTAAAAAGAGTGGTACACTTACATGACTAGCAGCATTTCTTAAAGAAGCAATAGTATTTTCTTGAACTTTAGCAAGCCTGAAAGAGAAGAAACATAGAAATATAATTATCATACCTGATAAACAAATATAAGAGACAACAATATTTTCAACAATAGAAATGATTTTTACTCTCTATTTTTTTATTTTTTATTTTACAAAAGTTTATTTTTACATCATTTTGTACATTTTTTTTCCATCTCAATTGTAATCCCCGCGGGTTTCCCATCACCAAGTCATCTGTGTGCCATCACCATAATCCTGTGCATTTCCCTTCCTACTCCCCCATTTTTGATCCCATTCCCCACTCCACCCCTGCAAAATGTCTCTGGTTTATGGTTGTTCATTATTTTTGTTATTTTCTCGCCTGGTCCATTATACTCCTGCTATGAGTGAAACCATACAGTATTTTTCTTTCTCTTTCTGGCTTATCTCACTAAGCATGATCTTTTCCAGCTCCATCCAAGTTGCTGCAAAAGACATGTGTTTCTCTTTTTTGGTTGCTGAGTAATATTCCATTGTATATATGTACCACATCTTTCTAATCCAGTCATCTACTTTTGGGCATTTGGGCTGCTTCCATGTTTTTCCAATTATAAATAAAGCAGCAATAAACATGGGGGTACAGGTATCTTTTTCAATCAGTGTTTTTATGTCTTTTGAGTAGATACCTAGGAGTGGGATTGCTGGGCCGTAGGGAAGCTCCATGTTTAGCAGTCTGGATTTTTACTCTCTATTTTGAGGCTAATTTTCTACCCTCTCCCCAAAAGACAGACTATTTCTTGGTTGGTGTGTACATTTATTCCATAAATGAATACCGATATCTGCAAACTGAATATAGACTTAGCCTATACGCTACATAACTCTCCAAGTGCGATGACAAATTAGGGAAAAAAAGCTTTTGCAATGGCATCAAGTAGACACAGATACTTGTTCTCTGTGATGAAACCTCAAAGGACTAACACTGGTAGATTCTGGGAATAGGAAAATTCTGACATACCAGCAGATGAAAGTTACGGAAACAATTATCTTGAATAGGTGAGGTAACTGAGACACACACACAGCATGTACACCACTACGCTGACTTTTTCATCAAACTTTCCCTCCTGACTTTTTTCATGAATGTCTATCAACTCAGTAGAATACTAAAAAGATTGATGAGACTCTCAGGAGAAAGCTGGTCTCTACTTAATTTGAACTGGGAATCCCAACTATCACATTACATATAAATCCCAGGATTAATAAAAAAAGGAACACTTGACCATCAGTGAGACAATCACTGTAACCTTATCAAGCACGAACAGCCAAATACTCAAACTACTCAGATATTCAACCTACTGAGCAGTTGTTGTAGAATTTCCTGCACCTCTATGTCCAACATCCAATGGTATTCTTGGCTTCCAATACTTGGAAAACGAAGATTTCATGTCACAACTGTATCCTGGTAATGGCTTGATAATTATATAATCAACTTTTGTAGGAAAAAAGGGAGGAAGAAAGGAAAAAATAAAGATGACTGAAAAGGCTATGACAAGATTAATTACACTTAAATGCCACTCAAACTAGCTTTATCACTATCAAATATGAAAAAAAAAAAAGTAAAATTGATTTAAAGCTTCCAGAGAATTTAATGATGTAGCCCACTGTGACTGTTTTAGTTAATATTCTAGAAGTAATTTTTATTTAATCTTTATTCTCAAAAGTTCATTTTGCAACTAATTATATTTCCAGCTGACCTCTCTTTGTTTGTAAAGTTCTACCCTGTTTCTCCGGGCTTACCTCGTACTTTGCCTATCGTTTTTCTGGAATTTCTGCTCATGATTGGAAGAGTTAGGATTCCAGCACTCTTCCCACTCTCAGCAATGGTAGATGATAAGAGGCATGCTGTACCCACATGTCCAGGAAGGGCATCCCCCTGAACTACATGTTCACTGAGATCTTCCTAGAAAGAAAAAAAAAAGGGAGGTTTAGAATTATCTGAATTCTTATACTTTAAAGATGAAAAACTCCCTTACAGTCAATAGTGTACGGAGGAAGACTGATTAAAAAAAAATCAAATTTACATTCAGGTAATTCTGATTATTTCTTTGTAATAAGTTTTATATGTATTGTTTTAAAATCATAATTCTTCTGACTTGAGAAAAATTGCAGACCACAGTCAATATGCAAAAATCTGTCTTATTTCTATAATGAACTAGCAGAAAGAGAAATGATAAAAAAAAAACCCCTACTTAAAATCACATCAAAAAGTATAAAGTATAGGAATAAATTTAACTATGGATGTAAAGGACCTGTATACTGAAAGCAGTAAGACACAATTGAAAGAAATTGAAAACTCAAAAGAAATGGAAAGACATTTTATGCTCAGGATACAAAGAATCAATATCATCAAAATGGCCAGCCAACCTTAAAGAATAAACAGATTCAAAGGTATTCTTCACAGAAATACAACAAAAAGATCTTAAAATTTGTATGAGATCATGAAAGACCTCAGTCAACAAGTCTGAGAAAACTAAAAAAAGAACATAAATAGAGGTATCATGCTCCCTACCATCAAAGGTACATAATCAAAACAGTACAGAATTGGAATAAAAACAGGTATACAGATCAATGGAACAAAGTTGAGACCAGAAATATGTATCAGCACACATGTATTAGCAACTAACTTATGACAAAAAAGCCATGAGTACAATGGAGAAAGGAAAAGTCTTCACTACTCGACAGTCACATGTAAAAGAATGAAATTAAGTTTTATAATCTATACTAAAATCACCTCAAAATGGATTGAAGATGTAGGACCTGAAGCCATAAAATACATAGAGAATAACATAGGTAAAGAGTTTTTTGATATTAGTAATGTCTTTACAAATTTATTTCCAATAGAGAGAAACAAAGGGATATAAACAAATGGACTAACTATATTAACTAAAAGGTTGCTGCATAATTAAAACAAAAAAGCAGCCTACGAATGGGGCAAGGTATTTGCAAACTATATCAGGTAAAGTTTTAATATTCAAAATATAGAAACTCATACAAGTCAACAATAAAAGAAATAAAATTTAAAAATGACAGAGAATCTTCACAAAAGATACATAGAAGGCTAACAGACAAATGAAAAGATGTTCCACGTCAGTTATCATTAGGGAAATACAAATCCAAACCATAATGAAACTTTGCCTCACTATGGCAAGAATGTTTACTATCAAAAAATCAGGAATAAAAAAAAAAATCAGGAATAAATGTTGCTAAGGTGGTGGCAGAAGCTGTGTCACCAAAACGGAAAACAGTATAGAGGCTTAGAAACATTAAAAAAATGTAAAATAGAATACATATCTAAAAACTTGTATTGCTCATGGCTCTTATAGGCAAAAACAAAAGTCAAAACATGTGAAAATAAGTTCATGAATACATTCTTTGTTAATCCCCTCAGTGAAATAATTGCTTACCTCAAAAAAATCAAATATTAGCTCCAGGTTATCTGGTTCCATTGTCTGTATGCTGTATTCTGTCCAACGGTCAGGCTGTAAGCCATACCCACATTCTGGCTGTGAGTGCCTACATTTGAACTCATGGTCACTTATTAAGGATATCTCTAGGCTGTTGGACATTTTGTGAAGAACACTGGGAGATACCCTATCATCATCATCTTCCTCCAGACCCTCTAGTGTCAGCTTTACCCTACAGAAAGGGGGAAAAAAATGTAGTACAAAAAATGGCAGAAGGAAACTTACATTAATGTTAACTAGATGTTAAATTTAAAATTCTTCCCTGAGTATCTAATCGTCAATTAAAAAACTATTACACTGAATCTAAATATATTATAGGCTAAAGATTGGGTATGCTTTATAAAATGCTGTTTTTAATCTACAATATTTCTACAAAGTATTAATGAAATCTTTTTAAAATTAATTTATTTATTTATGCATACAGAACTGAGGTATAGGTGAGGTACAGGCAGTGGTGAGAGGATTCACCAGAGACCTAATGGGGAGCAGAGCAGGCAGGTTGATGAGATGCAATGCTGAGGGGAGAAGCAGATGAGACGGGAGAGGTCTGCTGTGCCATGTGGCACATCCCTGGCTGGGATTGAACTGGTACTGAAGTAGCTGTGGCTAGCTTTGCAGTGCTGTGCTTTAACCCACTGCACCACCAGGGAGAGCCCCTCTACAAAGTATTAAAACAAGATAAATGCTCATTATACCTAAAAAATTAATTAAAAAATTAATATAGAGGTATTTATTTACTATTACCCCATTTATCTAACTGGCTATGTCAATTTTATTTGAGAGGTTTCAATGTTTTTAAGTGTGTGTATAAATAAGTATAAATTAACTTATATTCTGTTATTACACATTAAAGACTATTAAAAGATGTAGGTTATAAATTTAAAAAAATTCCCACAGTCCTGGTACTTTTTGAAAAGCTTATTAATAAATAAAAATATTATTTTAAGTATACATATTTGTATGTATGCATATTTTATGCATTTTTAATGAAAAAATGGATAATACACACACAGTCTAAAACTTTTGATTCTCAGAACTTTAAAAAAGGACTAATTTCCAGGCCCTCCGTGGTGGCACAGTGGGTAAAACACAGCACTAAGAAGCTAAAGCCAAGCCAGCATGAGTTTGTGAGTTTGATCCCTGCCCCGGAGGTGACCCACATGGTGCAGCAGACCTCTCCTGACCCGCCCGCTGCTCCCCTCAGCAGTGTAGTTCATCAGTCTGCATGTTCTGCTCCCCACTCTGTCTATGGTGAACCCTCTCACTGCTCCTGTACCTCTGGCCTGTACCCCAACTCTGTATGCATATTTTTTTTTAAAAAGGACTAATTTCCAAGTCATAGGGCCACAAAAACAAGTCTATTTCTAATGAAGAGCAATTACTCAGAATGCCATAGTCAGTTTAATTCAAGAATACTTATACCAACTGAAATGTATATAAACAATTCTGTTACTCCTGAGGGCAATTTTGTTATACAGAGTAACAGTTATAAAAACTTATTATGGATATAAATGGGATCTGATTTATAACACAAGTAAGGGAATTATATTAGTGGGCTCTGCTTTTTCTCCACATGAATACCTGCTTCTAACCACTGCCTAGGCTTGTATTAGAGACACATCTACAGCGATTACTTAATTAATGATATTGTTGTATAGTATTAACAGTAGAACTAATAATCCAAACAAAATTTATCATCTCTCCTTAGAAACCAAACTCCTAGGAAGCTCTGGACAACTGATTCTGTGGATGAGCCTGAAGGACAAATATTCTCTACTAGGATATGATGAGAGATTACAAATGACAGTAGTAATAGGCAAAGACATTATGCATGTCAACAAAGTGTATGTACAAAAATCTCAAAAACTATATTGAAATTATCTTTAAAATTCTATGAAGGTTTTCTTCAAATAGTTATATAAATGTTACAGTCTATCATAAAGAGACATTGTTTTTTCTCTTACCGGTAGAGTCTATTTGAAAGGGTACTTGTAAACATAACATACATATATACATGTGATATGTATGCAACATACATACATATATGTTATTCAACAGGAATTATCTATTTGAATAGCCCTGTGTAGGTATTAAAAGAAAGGTTTGATTTAACCTTAAGTGACACAGTAATAGATGTTAAGCACTCCATGTGATTTATACATAAGCAAGAACAATATAGGATTCAGTATGTATTGGCAATCCAATCAGAAAAAAATCCTAATACAACTAACCAAGGCTTTATATATAGTCTATCTTTATTTTCAAGGTCTTATACTAAAAAATCATTTTATAGTTCTTAAAAATTTGTTTTTTTTTAACATGTATATATATAAAATACTCAATTATGCATATGTAACTGCTCAGGGTATCTCTGAGGTCAAAATGATCTTGCAGCTTAGCCATGTGGCCCAATGACCCCAGTATCTCAGAAGTAAAGCAGAGACCTGGGAAAGGTAATGCACAGAAAGAAGGTATGCCTAAGCCTTTCATATACTCAGAATATCTATGCAAAAGACTATTCAGTATTATCTATCTTTCCCCTTAAGTATTTTATGATCGAGAACTATAATAATTAAGCAGTTACTATAAAGCAGTTATGTATTTGCAAACTGCAAAAATTATGAATGTCATTGTGAAGGTGGTAAATACTGCATTATTAATAATTTCAGTTACTGAAAAATTGCCCTTTCAACCCACCCCTGACATTTTTTCAGAAAAGGATGCATTACATATCAACACTTAGAGCTCTGTTACAAAAAAATTGCAAAAATTCAAAAGATAGGGCTGCCTGGGTCACTAAAAAGCCAGTTCAATACAAGGTGTATATGATTACATGAAAGAAAAAGTTATTCTCTAGCTATTTACTCAAAACTTGATATTTACTTTTTATATTAATATAGATTTAAAAACTTACCTGGAATGGCTATCCCTGTTACCTTTCTTTATAAAGTAGTTTTTTTCATTCTTACAACACATTCTTACAACAATCATTTTTCTGTTTATGTCATTCTCCCCTCAGCATAAAATCATTTCTATTACATTAATTTAAAAATAAATTATTTACTATTATAGTAACAAATTTTAGAAACTACAAGGAAACAAACTTAAAAATAATTTATATAAAAACAAATTTCGGGCTTGAAATTTAGAGATTAAGACTAACACAAGTCTATGTAACTATTAACCTGTAGTGGGGAAGCAACTCAGTATCACATGATCCCATTATTATTAGAAAATGTAACATTACTTATAAGTGTGTTATTTTCTTAACTTATACACTTACAGCCTAAAATGCAATGTGTCAGAACTACACATTAGTGAAAACAAATGGCATAAGTAATAAATGCACATGGTCATACCTAAATCTAGATTTTTTTAAATTTTTCTTTGTAATTGAGACAGGAGGTTTTTCAGAATAATGCAAACGTAATCTTATTTCAGTCTGACATGTCAGCCATCCAGAATCCAGAGTTTCAACACCATCTGGCAAAGAAAATATGATGAACAATAATTACTACGTATTTTTTTAAAGAATCCAGTAAGTACAATACACATTGGTAATTCCAGTTCACATTTTAATGTACTGAAGTTATATGTCAGTGGTATTTCTAAAGTAAATCTTAAAAGTTTGCACTGAAAAATGACTTTTACATGAAGTAGGGAGAAAAAAGCTAAATTAAACTGTCATATTTTAGTAACTCAAGTAAATTAAAATTCCCAATTGAATCCACAATTGAATACAAAACTTTTTCAGAAAGAACACATATTTCAAAGTGGCATCTAACGTAGCAGTTGTTTCACTGAGAATCATTATACTTCCAAAGTGTCAACACTGAGATAATCAGTCAAAACTAATTATGCCATAGTGCTGGGCACTAGGCAAGGACACAAGGCAAGGACAAAAATGTCAGTCAATTCTGTATTTTCACATTTATATATTCTGCCATTAATAGGCTGTATAATTGTGGTAACATTGTACTAGCACTGTTTTAACTTGAACTTACATACTAACCTACATAGATAATATGATTTTCATAAATACCAGGAAGCTGTCACCTATTTTGGACCTAAGTCTTTCATCAACAGGAGTTTAAAAAAAAAGTCAAAAAACTTCTTAGGTATAACTTTAAAATGCTGTATTACAGCTAAAAAATACGAGATAACTACTGCTCGTTGGTAAACAAAAGAGGACAGAAGTTTAAAATACAAAACCACTGAAGTGCTGTAGACTACCCTATGATGTAATATAAATAATTCCAAATAAAATTAACAAAAAAATTTAAATTCCTATCCAAATACTGACAGAGCGTGTAATTTCTAAAGTGTCCTTGAATATATATGTATGAAGTAAAACTACAACCAAAACATTGAGGCCTTCCTGTACTCAATGGGAAAGCAAACTTATCTCTGGTTGGAATCAATGCAAGCACACATTCTATCCACCCCCCCTTACACCAACAGCATAGAATCTCAAATAAAAATGTAGTTTAATGTGATAAGCAGGATACATGGCAAATTCCATTGAGGAAAAGGTGAAGCAGAAAAATGTATGAATACATAACATTTTCAAAATACCCAGAAGTAAAGGACTTCCTATTCTGTTACAAATCAATTGTTAAAGACTCAGCTAGAATTATTAGAACATTCAGTTCAACTGGAATTTATTGGATATAGATATACAAAACACACAAAATGCATGAACTTAAGAGTAATTTTTCACACTGTAAATGTTTAGAATTAATATCACTTTCAAACATAAGTTTTTAAGTGATGATATATTAATAGCTAAGCATAATGCTATTAATTCTATTAATTTATATACCTGAAATCCCCAAACAAAAAGATAAAATATTAAAGCACAAATATTTAATGGAATGTATTTGTTTCTGGATTTATTCTTTATTTTCAATATCAAATTCTGTCATGTATCCCTGTTTCTAATGAAAGAAAAGTAGCATTTCAAACACATCAGTAAATTTTTTCAAAACTCAGTCTCACTTACTGTGAATTCCAAATTGTCCATCGTCAATAATAATTTCACTTTCTAGAATTGAAGGAAAATAGGAAAACTAGTTAAAATTCATGAGGTATACAGAATGAACAACTGAGAAAGTAACCATCTTAAGGATTTAAAAATATATACTGAATATAAAATTTAAAAGCAGCCCAAGGCGAATAAGCATATTTATTGTAGCCCTCAATAAAGAATTTCCACTTAAGGAGACTATCAGACAGTCATAGTTCATTCGTACTTTTAGTGATTACTCAAGATTTATAAGGAAGAGAAAGAAAACTCTTCAACGAAGTGATTCTAAAGGCACTGGGACAAACTTCTACACCCACCAATGAGTAAGACTGACAGGTTGCTGGACAGTGATCTCTCTTGGTTGATTATTTCAAACCAAAGTTCTTGGCACAATTAAAATGCTTATTCTTATGTAGTCCTATTCTGAATGTAACTAAAATGCAAATCTCCGTGAATCCCAATTATTCCCTATAGCCAGTTAAAGCTTTACAAACAGCATAAACTTACCTGTATCTCAGAGCTGTGAAGAACTATCAAAAAGAGTAAGAGCTAGCATATTCCCTTCTAACAGAAATTTTAAATGAGAAAAGCTGTAAGCCCTACTCTCTAAGTAAAATATAAATTATCTTCCCTCTTTTCTTTCTCAACTTACTTTAAGTCTGAAAATTTTGTCAGACTAAGTGTGATAGTTTCCAATAAAGAGCCCCTCGTAGATACATGTAGTTAATTTTAGAAATTATTACTTTTTCAAAGCATAAATTTCTTTTTAAAAAGCCAGAAACAAAATAACCCCACTGTTCACAATAAAAATATATATTTAACTGCAAGATGCTTCAAAATGCAATTTTTTTAAATGTTTAATACCTAATAATTTCTACCCTCAGTATGGGACTATTGTAATTCCAAAGAATACTATCATAAAAATTCAATATAACTATTAAAATATATTAAAATCTATAGAAAGGAAATCCTATAAAGAGGATGAAATGAGGTATTTCGTCTTGCTTGATATGGGTCCTCGCTATAAGATTAAGCAGAATCTCTCATTTCTTTCTAATCTAAGCTAGTAATCAGCAAACCACTTATTATCATTAAATTCTAATTTTCCCTAGAAACTAAACAGATATAATTCTTACAATCAGTTTATGGATGAATCCAAGTGAGTAATTTAAAACACGTAAAATAAACTTTGAAGTTTAATCTCAGTATGGGAAAGAAAATTTTAAAAATACATATATAGAGAAATGCCATTTTTTTGGCAGAAAACTGAAGACTGTTTTTTGAAAAGCTATCTGAGTATCAGTTTTAACACAGCCGCCAGAGTATTTAAGTATATTAGGAAGAAACTATGTCAGCTACAACCAAGAAATCTGAATTTATTTGTACATACAAGTTTATTCAAGTATTTGCTATTTAAAAGAGAGAGAATAAATAGAAGAACTATTCCAGTACTCTTAGTATGCAAAAATTAAAAAAAAAAAAAGAATTAATCCAAAAAATGGGTTGTTTGGGTTTTTTTTGGAGTAATTCTTTATTCAAGTGTTCTAGGTCCTCTGAGCAAGTAAGCAAATAAAGTCATGGATGCTTCTTCAAGAATAACAATATTTTGTATAAACTGTTACTACTCCAAATGAAAATAAATGCTCTATAATAAATAATACAACCCAAGAAAATTAAAAAGCTAGGCAAGCATTTCTAATCAAGTTTATAAAGAAAGGTAATTAAGCACTGTTTAGTTTTGAAAGATCCATAAAATACTAAGTGAAATTTGTAGTACTAAAAATACATTGACCTTAAACTTTAGAATAAAATTCTACTAGACCCCACTAAGCCATTGTGTAGCATATTAGTAACTTTACGCATATGCCTCAAACAGATGCAGTTAATGCCCATACCTAAAGGGGTTATTGATCGTGGTTGTAGATGAGTCTCCCACTTGTGAACTATGACTTGACATGGACCACCGATAGTCTGCAATTTAAAAGTTAAACGTCTGCAATAATTTCTTATATCTTATTTTCTACCCATGACTCCATAAGATGTTTGTGGTCTAAGTCTTATTCTAAATATGAAACCAAGAGATTAATCTTGTTAATATCGATATTATATGCCAAATATCAGGTATGTACCAGGTCACAAAACATGATGAGTGCTGGAAGAAAATGTGGGTGAGGCAGTAAACAAAGAAAAATGAGATGAACTGGCACACAAAACTGTCTTAAACCCAGCATTGTATCTGCCCGCAATCCTTAACTTTTTCAAATCAACTTTTTTCTTCTTTTTTAAAAAATTTATCTTTTAACTAAGTCTGCAACATAAATTTAGCACCAAATATATTTTATGTTTGGTGTTACCGGTATTACTGAAAAAGGTATCCCTCGTAAGCAGTTCGTGTTAGTGAAACCCTAAACTCTATAGTAGTAGGAACAGTAAAATCAGTTATCATAAGCTACTTAAAGAACTAGAGGGCGTGATAAAGTTGTTCATTATATATATACTTAAGAATAAGAAGGTGACAGGAGGAACGCCAGATTTCTCATATCATAGTAACCAATGTTTCTAAAGGGCACAGAAAACCCTAAAAGAAAGGAGACACGCACGGGTAAATTTGAACAAATTTGATAAAAGGGGAACTAACACCCAGTTTTATTCTTATTACTAGAGTTTATAAAACCATACAGTGTGACAATTTCTAATGTCTTCTGCTATCAAATTCTTAATGACAAAGAAAATAAAATGTTATGTGTTGTTGACAACATCTACAGCAGTTAAAAAACAGGAATGAACTACCCAAAAAAAACTCCCCATATATATCTAAAGGACTAAAATCTTAAATGATTTCTAAATTTTTAAATTTAATGACTGATCAATTGAAACTTGCATGCCAAAATAAAACCCTTATATACACATTCTAAAAGCAAAAGTTCAAACTGTAACCTTACAAGGCATTTTAATTTTTTCTTCTTAGGTTTTCTGAGAAATTTAGTAAAATACAGAGAAGAAAAAAAAATCATTATTATACCCTTAAGAATAACCCCTACCAACATTTCCATATAAAAACTTCAAGCCCTTTCTAGGTGTATACCAAACTCTTCAAAAAGCCAGGAACATACGAACTCATCTCTATATATAGTATACCTTTCAATGGCCTTACATACTCCTCTATAACACTGTTAAGGACTTCAGTAGTTACGACAGTTAATAATAAATGTGCCAAATGATAACAAGTATTAACAAGTTAGGCACATTAAACAATTAAACAGATAATTCTGACACTTAAAATAACCAAAGGTTAAAATCTTCCTGAAAACCAGTAAACTTTAGAAGCTTGAAAACTAAAACAGCATTACTCACTGAAGTCATTAATCCTGGGATAATATGGGAAATGCTCACTTTCTTGAATACCTCTTGGTATAGGGTTCACTTATTAACTGAGAGACTGGGTAGATATTTCTTAAAAGGTACATGTGAAACTGCACTTAAAATACAGCTATTTTCATTTCCATTACACTAAGGAAATAAGATACATGTAACCCTACACTGCTAGCTGTTTTTTTCTCTACAACTTTTTCCTGTCACATTTGCAAATGCATACTTTAAAAATAGGAAGGATATTTCTTTGCAGTAACAAGCAGCCAGAATCTATTTCCTTTTTCACTCCTCTCATGTCCCCCACACTGTCCCCAAATCCTCTTTGATACAAAGATGGAAAGATGGTATGGATCATTAATCTTATAAAAGTTTCTAATCAAAGGTGAGTCGAAATGGTGCCAGGTATATCAAGTCAGTGGTGATAAAAACTGGGTAGAAGAAAAGAGACAGCTTATTTTTTGTATTAGTTCAGGTGTCAAGAGAACTTTACAAAGTATTGATGGCAGTATCTGTATTTATTTACGTAGTAACAGTCCTGTGGATTAAACATCTGATAGCGAACATAACATACTTTAAAAGTAATTTCAACAACTCAACCATCATCTGTTTTAGTAACAAACCCACTATGCCCTCACAGTATAGAACCACCATGGCTGGAACAGAATGGAGTATTTGAGGAGCTGTCTAGGGAGCCAATTCAATAGCTAACTTAAGATAGTATCTACTATTTACATTATAAATCCATGTTGGTTGATACACAGTCATAATATTAAAAAAATGAAACCAAGGTTTAAAATACACTGAATTTCCAAAATTGTTAGGACTACTTAAATAAACTTTAGAATGTAATCTTAAATTTCAGTTACAAAACTTTTTTTTTTAAAAAAAATTATAACCCAAGCATTGGGAAATTAAGAGAGTTCATCAGTAATTTCAAAATACAAAAGCCTTTTACTATGCTAAATGTAATAACCCGTGCTTCCAGAGTTTAGAAAATAGAACAGTACCACTCCATAAAAGGTTGCCACAATTGTAAGTACTCTGGAGACAGGTGGAGATAGATCTTTGCGAAAAACAGGAACAGTATCAGTCCAAGATAGTATTCCAGTAACAGTACTGATGTTACTTAACAATTTAGCATATATTGCTGGAGTTTTTTCAAACATGCATATTAACAAAAATACGAAAAAAGTTTTCACAAAAAGACATGATTGCTTTTTTAATTACTGACATCAATCACATCACTCTTAACTACATTAAGAGAAATAATTATCCAACATGTAGAAAGTGATTTTTTTTAACAAACCATCAAGCAAAGTTACAAACTAATTATGTAATAATATCACTGCTACCAAAAAACATGAAAACTAAAAAAATGTGGGTTTTTTAAAAAAAATTGTTTTCATGTATAATTTTGAGAAGCAAATGCACATGTAAAGGAACACTAAAGATATTTTACCTATAATGACAGAGGCCAGACCCATATTTAAAATTACTATTTTTAATAAAACCAATAAAATTAGTTACCTCAGAATCAGTAATGAGTAAAGCAAAGAAAATTAGGGTTTCTTAGACAGACATTTCTACAATGGTATATAGCACCCAGAGAACTGTATTAAGATCATTGTGCAAAATGACAACCTGGGCTATTCTAAAGCAATGATGTGCCTACCACACATGACTAATGCTTTTATTAAAGGATTTAAATGAAAATCAAGTGAAATTAAGAACAAAATAAAAGGACATGTTTGTTTAATGAATCTGAGTATTAACATCTATAAAAATTAGGGAAATATGTTAACTAAAAAATAAAGAACAATTTCCACTGAAATGAAGGAAAAAGCATTAAAAACAAAATCAGAAACTGGCTAATAGCTCAGAATTAAATATATCCTTAATTCAATGGCAAGTAGGGTGAACATAAAACTTTCAAAAAGGTTCAAGTTGCATGCTAATTAAAAAATTACCTTTGGGGAAGATGTGAAGTTAAGGGACTATCTACAAGTCAAGCTAATGTTTTATTGCAGGAATACCCACCTATGTCTGCTTTGTTTAAATAAGGTAATTTTTCAATTTGTCATCCATAAAGTTATTTTAAAACTGAACATATTCATACTTCATTCTAATTCTACAAAGTATAAGAAAACATGTAGCTATGAAAAATTAAGAGGACTTAACGATTCAATTAAAAAAATTATGCCAGAAAAAGCAAAATATGGAAGAGAAAATATGAATGGCAAAATTTTATTTACAATAAAATTTTAGCAATGAGGGAACCTAAGAAATTCACAATTCAAACCCCTCATTTGATAGATGAGGAAGCTGAAATTCAAAGATGAAGTGATTTGTTCAAGATTACAAGGTTTTTAGGTTAGGTTCTACAATTGCTTGGGGTAGACTACCTCCTTCAACTTTTGATCCAATAAAATTAATCTTATTACTCATTTCAGCTTTTCAATGTCTCATAATTACTTTGCTTTCTGATCACTCTATATAATCATAACATATATTCCAATAATTTACACACTTCATGATTTAAGATTCCTTGCACATTTGTTCTTTCACAATGAACTGAGACAAAGTTTTATAATTATTTCTATTAAAAATATTTCATTTAAAAAGCGCCACCAAATTTTAAGAGAAAAGAAGTGTCACTGTAAACTGACGTGTAAAAAAAAATTCTAGCTATATGCATGGGATTTTATGTAGCTATTTACTCTATTCCATGAAAAACATACTTACCATGGCAGCCCCTGCATCACACGGTACATGTGTACACGATACAGAGCACCTACTTAAAGAAACACACTCACCAACACATACTGTAAACTTTTGCAGGTATTACAAGGGGAAAAATTGTTTTTACTGTAAGCAGACTTGCCAATTTTTTTCAAAATGGCATTTTGGACTGATTTGATGCTTCTGGTTACATTTTTATGAAAAGGAAAAATTCTCCAAGTTGGCTTAATTTGACCTGTGTTGACAATAGTCTTACTTTAGGAACTCTACCCAAAGGACTCATGATTTTTCTTGTTCAAACATACCACTGAGTAAAAATTAGCTGATTTCTTGTTACAAAGCTAAGTTCCACATATCAGGATCCTCAAATAAACTTTCAGTTTATCAGAGTGCTATGACCTATGTGTCTATACCCAACTGTTCAATTTATACTGAAAAACTGTACAGAAGGGATAGCCCCTCTGCCAAATAGAGGATTTGTTTTTCCTTAAGCTGTTAAAGTGACACTATTGTCAAGGTAAGCCAACATAATGATCAACCATAATGTAGTTTAATTACTGAGTATTTACAACGTATTTCTGGGATTATAAACGTAATAGGTGCAAAAGACAGCTGAAGTGGTTTTGTCAGTTTTTCTTTTTTTTAAAATGGTGGCTAAGAGAATGCAGTAACAGTGGCTGCTTGCATTTCTTACACGACACAATGCTCAATAACCTCCCAGTGGAAAATAATTTTTTTTAAAGATCTAATCCATGTTTTGCTTCCTAGACTCCTACCTAAAACTTCATTCACATGCAGCCCAAGGGTGCTCAAAGGTAAACAATTTGAAAGAAAACAATCCTTTCAGCAATCAAGTATTGGGAATTAACTTTTTCTAAATATGAAAATGATCCCAAACTAAAAAATCATCATGACCAGCAGATTTAAAATTAAAACATAGACTAAAGGTCTTCAGAAAAGATTTTGATCTAACAATGAATCAAATCAATGAAAAAACTCAGAGGAATGACTTCAGTTTCGATAGGAGTCGAGCAGCCATGAAGAGATGACTGCTGTCAAACAGTTTTTAAAAACAACTATTCCCATAAAACTGGCTATATACACTTCTAAATATATTTTTATATACCACTTAGGAATTTTAAAATGAAACAAAAAGAAAAATCCTTGCATCTGCTTATTATTCTATCAAAGTTACCGAAAATATACACCTATCAAGAACATTTATCATTAAAATTTCATGCGAAGAATATTGCAGAGCATACTTACTATTAGTCTTTTTAAAATTCCACTGCAGACATTGTCTGCTTCTGAAGTGCTTTTTGTTTTGGAAGTGTTACTCTGTTTTTTTTTAGTACTAAAATGTTATTAATCTAGAGTTCTATTTTCCTTATTTGATCAAAACAAACACATTTTACTTTCAATGTTTCAAGCTTAGTTGTTTTTCAAAAAAATAAGTTTGCTTATGAAACTGTAAACTAGATTAAAAAATAAAACATACCTTTGGTTCTAAGAAGCACCCTTTGAAGTAGCGATATTCAACTGATACACCTCTACTGAGTGTTATGGTGGCTTTCCATAACATGCTGTAAGGGGAAATAATTAAAAAGGCACCATCAGTATCAAACTAAAATGCACACACTTCATAATTCCTGAAACCTCTCAAGTTAATGTCCGCGATAAGTATTTATTTCTACATAAAAGTTTACTTCAGGCTTAATCTGTACCAAGCTTGGGAAACATGATAAATGAAGCAGAAAAGAGCCCATCTTCAAGGATCTTGCATTCTTGTGTGGGTAGACAATCAATCAAGCAACACACACAGTAAAAGCTATTTGACTTTTTGGGCATGGCAGGATGTTTGAGAGAAGGCTTTTTTTTTTTTTTTTTTTTGGAGGGGAAATCTTAATGGGATGAGCTGTCTGATCTCAGACCCAAATGATGAGAAAGAACCAGTTACACAGAGTCAGAAGTACTCTAAATGGAAAAAGTAAGTACAGTCTGTTAGAACCTTCTCTCATTCACCACTTAGCTAGAGATGTTACATGCTGCCAAGATGCTTTTAGGTTAGAGCAGGCAATTTACATTCATGTTCCCAACTATTCCTATTTCTAAATATCTTACCTAGCCTCTGGCTATCCCCCAGTTAAAGCAATCAGTATCTGTGTCTTACTTGTTTCAACTCAATGCCTTCCTCTGAACTATGCAATTGAACATGTTGTAATGTTAATTCTAAAACTCTGACTCAAGAGTGAAAGCATTCTAATTCATGATTAGAACTGATTAGGAGCCTGGAAGCATAGACCACTAGTATCTACAGCATGGCCCCAGGACCATCATTATCACCTGAGAGTTATTAGGAATGCATATTCTCAGGTGACATCCAAACCTACCAAATTAGAAACTCTCGGTATGGTGGGGCCCAGTAACTGTACTTTAATAAGTCTCCAATGACTCTGATGATGAACACTTAAGTTTGAGAGCCATTGTCATAGATCATTACCCCCAACATTAATTCAGCATGAATAGTTCAGTGAATAAATAGCAGTTCCAAATGTTCTTTCATGATACCAGATGGCTAGCACAGCTTCCCACTTGGCTCCACCAAGAAAGGGCATTATTCTCAGTCTGACTCAATCCTGGCACCTGACAAAATATCCACAACCAGCTGTCACCCATAGTGCTAAGCTTCAACAATTGGATTACTCTGGTAGTAATAAAATCCTATGCCTGGTTCCACCTTGGGAGATTCTGATTTCACAAGTCTGGGAAGGTAGGGAAGGGGTATCCTGGTCACATGGGATTTGCTAAAACTTCACAGGGCATCCGGAAGTATACAGCTGGTTTGCAAACTGCTGCTTCAGAGTAAAAATAGTTGGCAAATACATACCCTACTATTTTCTCCTGATCAACCTCAGAATCCTTTTCAACACAAGGATTTTAGGCAGACTCTACCAACTCTGAAGTGAAATCTAATTCCTACCTTTGCTACAAAACAGGAGCAAAAAAACAACTGGTCAGAGTATGTGAAAGTAGTCCCAGATGTGCAGAATAGAATCAGCAGGAAGCCTTGAAAAATGTGCTTAGGCCCCCTTCTCATGCACTATTTCTCAAATAGAATCTTGAAATGTAATCTAGGAATGTGTATTTTTTTTTTCAAGTCCTCACAAGTGATTCTAACAGCTGCGGCTAAGAGCCACTAACTGAAAAGTTAGAGAAAGCAACACAATGGAATCTTTTTGCTTTAATTCTCTAAGTAAATATAGCAAAGTTTAAAATGAAACAGCTCTGTTCAGTGATTTCAAGAATGAACTTCACATGTTGAATTTTAGGAACAACTAGGAAAACAGTCTCCCTGGTGGTACAGGGAGGTTAAATTAGCACTATCCAGCTATTGCAGCCAGCCAGCCAGCCACTGAAGCAGAGTTTGATCCCAGTCAGGGAACTGACCCACATAGTGCAGCAGACCTCACCTATCTGGCCCACTGCTCCCCCCTCAGCAGTATATTTTAGTAGAGCTGCTTGTTCTGTTCCTCACTCTGCTCTGGTGAATCCTCTCACCTCTGTACCTCTGGCCTATTCCCTAGTTCTTCTATGCATAAATAAATAAAACAGATCTTTAAAAAGAAGAAAAAAAGCCAGGAAAGAGACAGTGCAAAAGAAAAAAAAAAGGAGAGGGGAGGGTCAGTGCAGTTTCCTGCTTTTCTACTCATATTCTCCTCCTGAATAACACAAAACATACAGGAGTAAGTAAAACAAGTTACAAGTGACCCATATTTTCTGCATAGTAGGAGACACTACCACAATCTTCAAATTATTTTTAAGTAGGAAAAAACTTCCAGCAGAAATCTCATAGTCACAAGTCTGTAGGATGGGGATACCTAAGCAACTACATGAAAAGGCAGAGTACTTAGCTGCACAGTACACTGGAAACCCAAAGAAATACAATTCTAAAACCCAAGAATGTTGTTCAAAGGCAAACAGTTTTGTTTGCTATTTGTATCATTTACTTGAATAATCTACTTTCTTTCTCTTTGTGAAACATTATTTACTGCTACATATGAATTAATTATATCCAATGCACATTAGCACTGTATAAATGACTGGTCCCTTTACAGTATTATCAGTTTGATAAGGCTGGCTAAAATGGCCCAAGGCAGATGGCAGCACAGCTCTCCAGAGTTCAGAGCAAAGAAGTGTTAGGAATGAAATCAGAAAGACATGAGGATTCACTTTAGATAGGAGGAGATGAACTGAAGTCAAGGGAAACATAACCACTTAAAGGGAATAACTATCTTTTATAATGATTTATAAAAACATTTATAAAAACATTTTTGTTTTACCCAACCTGTGCTGAGATCAAGTATTTCTGGCCTACAATCCCAGTTTACTGAGACGAGTACGGGATGACATACAAAGGACATCTTAGCAATATGAAATTGTGACAAACACTTCCACATGATTTCTCATTACTTGGATTTCTCATATTACATATTGATTAAAACTTTAGCACCACTCTACAGAAAAAAAAAAATTGCACTTATTAATCACTTAACCTGGTGTTCCTCCATTAGGATACTGCATGTATTTACATACTATTTAGGACTGACTCCTCCCTCCTTACTCCCCACACATACACCATGACAATCTCCAACACTTCCAAGTATCCCAATGTAGAGAGGTGTCACCACTCACTGATTTTATCCTAAACCCTTTCCAGATGATTTAATTGAAGCCTAGAGATATCAGACTTGCTCAAGCTAAGCATAACTGAAACTGGCACCCAGATCCTTTTTGTCCTAACCCAGTGCATCAATACATTCATGCTAAGTTCAATGTTGTATACATTTCATCACATAATTAAGAAATGTGTTCCACTCTTGACTATTTTTAATACTTACATATGCCTGAAAAAAATGATTTTATAGTTCAGGGAAAATTTGGATCTTTTATCAAAAATATGTGCTAAAATCCAAGAGAATGCCTAAAAAATGTTTTAATATAAGAAATAACAACATAAGCTTGTTATTTAGACATATGGTGGTACCAAAGAACCAGTTGGAAGTTGAAAATTAAAAGACTGACAGAAATTGAGGAACAAAGGAATTTGTTTTTTTTTATAACACTTTGTGAAATTATTTTAACTTTTTTAAAACTACACACATATGATAATCTCGATAAAAATTAAAACTAAAAGAAGATAATACCAATGTTTCTTAACATTCCCAAGTTTATAATCTGAATGTCACAATTCTTCTGCCACCTGAATGGCATTCTATGCTCACCTTTCACCAGTCTCATTTTCTGGACAAAGAGCCATAGCATTTTGAGGATTCCAGTTTCCCAAAGCATCGCAGCTTCCACATATTGCAAAAACTTCTCCTTTAAAAAAAAAAAAAACAGGAACAACTAGTTACAATAGGGCAAGTTGGAAAGTTTCAACCTCAGTTTTAGGAAGGAGAAAGCAGTCAGCTGTGCTAGTTTTCAACAGAGTCCTTTTAGGCAGAAAAGGCGAAGTCTTTCTGGAGACATGGTTTTGGAGCCAGAAAGACTTTGCACCCATGAGCAGGTACAGGTTCAGCAGAACAACCTCAACAATGCCTCAGAGAAGCGCAGGTCAAGGAAGGTATAAAGATAAGTTTTTCTCATTTGTTCAACTATATTGAGTTAATAACAAACACCAAAAAGACAAAGTGATCAAGCTGCAGTCCCTGATTTTGAGGTTGTTTTCAAGTTAAAGGGCAACTGCTAAATGCATATAAATATTCTGTAGATATAGTAGTCAGTATTTTCCAAGAACTCAAGCAGTAACTAATAACAAGTTAAAGATGAAGAAAATTATCAATGGGATGGGAGCAATGGAGAAACAACTATCATTTCATTTGAACTCTTCTCATCAATAAATTAACATATAGTTATTACCTATTCTTGCTAAATCTCATATATTTAACAAGCCTACAGCTACTTGAATATAAGTATGCAGAAGTCCTTGACAGATATCAATATATTTTGAATTAATTTAAAATTCATTAAGGAAAAAGATAATGAACTGGGTTTACATGATAAAGTTCAAGCCAAACTCCTCCATATTCTGAGAGTAGTTTGGCTTCCGAGCTTTAGGCAATATTCTAGTAAGTCAGCTTTAGTCATCTTCAAGAGAATTCTGTAACTTCGATGATCTAAAACTTTAACTCAAATCTTACATGTAACAGTCATTTGGGAATTTCTAGGGTTCTAAAACATAGGATGGTTACATGGTTACTTCATGGCAAAATACTAATCCTTTAAAGTAACCAGATTTAAAAAAAAAAATTAACTTAGGTATCACTACCTTCTTTTGACTAAAAAAGGGTAAAAAATGCTACTAAATACAGAGCACAAATGTTTATTGCCAAGACTGTATATACTGCTATGCACATGTGTACCATATACTATCGCTTCTAGTATAGATGACCAGAAAATCATTGATTTGGACCCATTATGCTTCCTTCATAAAGAAGGATCTCAATTTTTTTTCCATTTGATCTGTTATTTCTTGTCTTTATACAAAACAGCTGTTTTGCTCCAGAAAGAACATGTATCCCAAATGGAAAAGTGAAACTTGAGACAACTGATGGTTTGCTTTTCTCCTATTTAAATGCTCTTACATTTTACCAACTCCCTACTGCCGTATTACTTCTGAGTTTTTTAGAATATGGCTTCTAAGAGGGGAAATGGGTAAACTTTACCAGAACAAACTGCCCACTTTCTTTGGCTCCCATTTATAAAAAACAGCAAAGACTTCATGGAAAGTGCAAATATGACCCCACCCCCTCATTCTTTCTACTTGTTCCCTTTAACTTCCCTCTCTGCACTGCCTAACTACAGTTGTCAGCTACACTCACATCCACCATTATCTTCCATTTTGGCTTAAGTATATGAATTATGGCCCTCCCTGGTGGTGCAGCGGGTTAAAGCACAGCACTGAGAAGCTGAAGCCACTTCCGCATGAGATCGATTCCCGCCTGCCCCGGAGGAGACCACATGGCGTGGCAGACCTCTCCTGACCCGCCTGCTGCTCCCCTCAGCAGTGTACTTCATTGATCTGCCTGTTTTGCTCCCCACTCTGTCTCTGGTGAATCCTCTCACCCTCCACACCTCTGGCCTGTACCCCAGTTCTGTATGCATAAATAAATAAATCTTCAAAAAAAAATATATGAATTAAAAAAAAAAAAAGAATATGAATTCATCCTATGAGACTGGCCTTTCCATGGCAAATTCTGAGTCCACTTGTCAGATATGGCCAGCAACTTCAAGCTTAAACTGTTTACAACTCAGTTCTACTACAGTCTTCTCTCCACAGAGGAGACTACACACCAGGCTGGCGGTGAGAAGCTGCCCTAAGGAAGCCAATCCACCATGCTGACCAGCAATCTTCAAATGGCAGAATCTTCACCCAAGGTAGAGTTATACCAGATATGCTGGCTAAGAATTTCAGCTTGGACAAACACTGTCAACTGTATGATGGCTGCTACAACAAAGATGCTGGATTCAGTAAAACATCCATTTATTCTTTGAATACCAATTTACCCCTGCTCTGAGCCAGGCACTGTTCCAAGTACAGGAATGCAGCATAAATGAAGACATGTTTTCTTAGCGCTTACAAGCTATCCCAAACAAAATTATTCAAATAATTCCATACAATCTTTTAAGAGGCACTATAAAATAGTCCCAGAACCCTGAATTTCATAGGGACCAGGTCCTGATAGAGTATGGGGAAAATTGGGGTAAGGAAAGTTGGGGATAGGAGTGCACAGATATATGCAACAGAAACAATCTGAAAAAGTCACAAAGGACAGAAAGGTGGGAAGGAATACAAACCATTTGAAGAATTGGCCATATAGCCAAATTATAAATGGGAAGGTATATAACTCAGGTGTGATGTTGTTTTAATATGTAATCTTACACTAAGTATCAAATGAAAATTTACAAGTACAAAGCAGTTACCTTAATCAAGTATTTCATCAACTCCTTGCATTAGCAAAATCTTGTTCCCATACTACTTAAAAATCATGGCCAACTACCTTTGTTCTGTGCAAAATTATATAAGTTCACAGCTATTTTTTGAAAACACGGTAATAAAATACTATTTTGGGAGGTTTATTTTTTAATTTCTGAGCTTACTATTCTTTGAGCACATTTCTGGTGTCAGATAGATACAAATATATTTTCATTTAAAAATTAGACTGAGAGCCCTCTCTGGTGGAGCAGTGGGTTAAGGTACAGCACTCTGGAACTATCTGCAGCTGCTGCAAACACGAGTTCAATCCCCGGCCAGGGATCTGACACAAATGGTGTGGCAGACCTCTCCTGACCTGCCCACTGCTCCTCTCAGCAGTGTATTTCACTCGATATGCCTGTTCTGCTCCCTACTGTATCTCTGGTGAATCCTCTTACCCCTTGCACCTCTCATTTGTACCCCAGTTCTTGTATGCATAAATCTTTAAAAAATGGGGGAAAAATTAGGCTGAGTGGTTAACTCCGTATTTGAGATAATCCAAGTAAGAAAACACTCATTAAAAAATTGCTAAAAAAAAAAAAAGTAAAACTTTACAATACCTGGTAAAAGAGATCCTCTTATTTCAAAGGTAACCTGAGAAGGTGTCATTCTGATGGCTTTATTATAGGGCGTTGTGCTAGGAAAAAAAAAGAGACGTCATCATTTACAGGATATAAATGCTTTTGATAGCTGTCATCAAGAAATAAGTTAGTAGGTAAAAAATACAAAAATAAACCTCAATCATCATGAGCCTAAGATTTCAGAATCAGACCTCTCCTGTCACACCCACTGCTCCCCCTCGCCATATATTTCAGCAGAACTTCCTATTCTGTTATCCAACTCTGTCTCTGGTGAACTCTCTTGCCCCCCCCACACCCCTGGTTACACCCCAGTTCTTCTATGCTTAAGTAAATAAATTTTTTTTTTAAAAAAACGAATTATTTAGTTAGTTTCAGGGTCCTCCACAACAGTCTAGAATGTATGGATGAGAAATACTTCAAACAAGAAGTGCCCATACTTTTAAAGATTCAAGAGTCTCTTGCCTAGCACTTTCTCTACTGATAAGCAGCTGTTTAGTACTAGACCTATCTTTCCTGGCCAGACTTCTGTTATGGTGGAAAATTAAACAAACAAATAACAACTATAGATAGAAGAAAGTTTGGCTCAAGAGAGATTTCTGCTTCAACAAGGTTCCAACTTTTATAACAAGGAAACCCTGAAGGATCTTAAGTATCACGCATTGAAACAAAGTAGTTATAGTCTGCAACTAGTTTGAAGCTTCTGTCCTTCTAAATAACACAACTTATGACTAAAAACAAACCAAACTTCCTTCACAAAACACTATTTTCAGATTTTCCTTTTTATTAACATAGGATCATCTTTACTCTAGTTCTGTAGACTAGATTGAGAATCTGGACTCTGCAACGTATCAAAGCCTGTTTGTTGATCTTAATTGAGTTTACATTCTGAATTGCCTAGAGTTGAACTTCATTCAAAACTCTTAAATCTTCTACTTACATGTTGGCTTTTAAATCTCTTCCCAGTATATATTTCACATCAACCAGAATATTCTTTTTTCATGTTCCCAGATTATTTCAATTACTTACAGAAATCTAAACCACTAAGTCTCTGAGATCCCTTTCTGCTTGTCCATATTTTCTTTTCAGTTAATTTTTCACTTCCATGCTGTTTTTTTCCCAGCCAAACTAATCTACTTATCATTCCCTAATTATATATCTGAAGGGAGATAAATAGGTTTTTAAAATGTTACTTCCCAAGAAGGCTGAGATATTTAAATACAGAAAGAACACATACTCCACACAAGGGAGGATTATCTATCTATATAACTTATCCAATATCCAATCTAATAATGTTCCTAAAATAATTCCAAACATATCTTTATTCTGTATCATTTCCATTAGTTTGCTAGTTTAAATTTTGTTTACTTGCATTTACATATTACATCATTTTAAAAAAATCCCTAAAGTACCTTTTTTCATAGCTATTCATTCTTCTATTTTCTCTTTGATCCTATACTTCTCCATGAAAACATGTGCAATCGTCACTTAATGAACATAGCTACTCAGTTTTATCACTCTCCTAGGTCAGGGTAGACAGACAACTCTTAGAAGCAAGGCTCAGTAGAAGCAATTTTGCCCTCAAGGGGTATTTGGTAATGTCAAGAGACATTTTGGTTGTCACAATCAGAGGAATCTGGTGACAAGGAATGCTGCTAAATACCATAGTATGCAGAGAACAATTCTTCTCAAATATCAATAGGGCGTGAGGTTGAAAAACCTAATCTCTACGTATCCACAGAGGGCTGCTATAAGGAAAAAGTTCAGGCTCACTCTGAACTATAAACTCAAGTGTATCATCCCATTTACATCAATTATAAACAGTAACTTTTATAAGACCACCAGTCAAGGTAGTTTCATAACAATTGGATAAAGAATTTCCTATTTGGCAGCTCTACCATCTCAGAAAACCCAAGATTCAACATTAGAGAAAAACTTATCCTAGATCAAAATAATTTCTAAGCTACCTTAATCTATTTTCTGTGTCTGAGAATAAACATGATCTATTTAAAGAGCATACATCCAGTTCTAGCACTGACAAAGAATGTTCCAAATCTAAAATTAGCTCTAGATTGTCACTCCTTATTAACCTATCATTAATCTAATATCTTACTCTCTTCTAACATGACATTTTATATGAACCTTACTATAACCTTAAGACAGAAATAAGACTATTTCATTTTACATTTCTGACATGTAAAATGAATAAATGAAGTACTGCAACCTTACATTTATCTGAAATTATATCAAAAAGAAACTTTAGGGGCCCTCCCTGGTGGCGCAGTGGGTTAAAGCACAGCACTGAGAATCTGGAGCCACTTCCGCATGAGTTCGATTCCCGCCTGCCCCGGAGGTGACCACATGGCGTGGCAGACCTCTCCTGACCAGCCCGCTGCTCCCCTCAGCAGTGTACTTCGTTGATCTGCCTGTTCTGTTCCCCACTCTGTCTCTAGTGAAGCCTCTCACCGCCCCTGAGCCTCTGGCCTGTACCCCAGTTCTGTATGCACAAATAAATAAATCTTTAAAAAAAAAAAAAGAAACTTTAAGGTAAGCAAAACATTATTTTTAAGTTACTGAATTAATTTTGAGACACAACAAAAAGCCACATTAAATAAAACTGCTGAACAACCAACATTAATCTCAACCTGTAACTTACTTTCACCAAGTATTTAGTTCTCAACTAAGGACAATCTTATCAACAAAAATACATAGGTGGTATTCAACTGTTCATTCATCAATTTTAAGTAACATTTTAACTAACTTTAGGGAAATGAGGTGTAATCTTTTTTTGTGTATTAAAATCAACACAGGATACAAAATTAACTAAGTTTTTAGTACATTAAATAAGAAAACTACATAAATTTATGAAACCTTTCACTCTTAGTTGCTTAGAGTGGTTATTGTAACTTGGCTGTAAATAGTTACAGTAAATGTATCATACAAAGCTGCATAAACAAACACAACTCTCTCTGCATCTTACCAGATGTCAACAAAGCATCATCTTCCACTGTGATTGCCAAAAGTCATATAATATGGTCTAACTTGCACTCCCACCTCCTAAATTTAATACCATCCCTTACCAAATTTAAAAGCCTGAAAATCGCTCATACAGCAGTTTTCTTGATCATGGACAAATGCCAATATTCTGGTGCAGGATTGAAGCATGCAATTTTGGCACCCAGTTACCACCAAACAGTAAATGATAAAGTAAAATGCTGTTGTGTTATGGAAAAAATCTGTAAACAGCTACCAACACTTCCTTTTCTCCTAAACAAGCAAAAAGAACCCAACTTGGAAGGGAAAGTCTGCCAGATACACATAAAATAATCAGATGGAAAATGCTAGTCATTTTACATATAGGAGTTGACCGTATATATAATTTAATCAACTTCGCTAAAACTTTATTTACACATCATTCTGAGTCAGGTTTTTGGTTTCTTGTTTTTAAATACAACCTCCATTTTGTGCTTTTTGAAGATAAACATTAAAAAACATTCTCACCTGAGATTTGCAGTAGCACCAAATGCTATTCTAACATTTTTAAAGCAACTAGCAACAAAATGACAGCATAATTTACATTTTAAAAATATTTCAGAGTTTATACACTAGTTTTGTCAAATAAGCCTTCACTGGCTTACAGCTTGGGGAACAAAAGGAAGGTCTAAGCAAGCCAAAATACAGGAAATTTTCTTTAGAGCTAAACTGAAGTCAGATGTTTTTTAGTGAAAATGTGTTTTTCTGGCCAAAAAGAACATCTCTCACTATTTTCCCTAACTTTTTAGAAAGAAAAAAGCTGTTTCCAATTCTTTTCAGATTAGCTATAAGAAAGGAATACATTAAAAAGTCCACGTTTTCCTGAGTTAATTCTTTTCCATCCTGGTAGAGGAACATTAAGAATCCACTCTTTGGAACCCAGTATACTTTGGGTCAGTGTTTTAATCAGATGTATGCAGACACAAAAGAACTTTTAAGAAAGAATTTCGAGAGATCTCATTAAGTTCCTTGAGCAACTTTCTAAATAATGAGTAAATTTTTCTCAATAGTCTGTTTTCTAGGTCATTTTGATATATATATTTCTTACAAATTTTCTTGTTATGCACAAAGATTTGGTTTACCAACGTACTTTTTGTACATCAGATTTTACTCATTCTGCCACTGCAAAGTCATTATTTCTCTAACCCAACTTTCTTAAGTCTTACCTTGCAGCTTCAAATTCTGTCTTGCAGCTTCTAAATTCTGGTCCTTAATTAAGAGGAATGGATCATATGCATTGTTACCTGGATGTTTTCTTGTCTCCAGAACATACGGAGTAAGAAAAAGAACTGATAGCTTGTATTTACTTCTTAAACTAAGACACAACTTGTCACAAATGTAACAACACGGAGAAACATGAAAGGGTAAAGTAGTGGCCAAAAATCTGGAAGAGTATGAAGGAAACATCAAGTCCAAACATCCTGCCTGTTTGGGTCGATCAGCTCCTCTATGATGGTGCTACTACATCAGACTCCATAACTGCCTCAAGGTTAAAGAATCCCCTACAATTCAAGCCTAAACATTCATGCCTGATTTCCTTTACAACCGGCCAGAAGAGTCAAGAGGGGCTGATGAAGCAGAGAGGCTGAGGCTTTACCCAAAGTCATCAAGCCAATCTAAAGGGTTCTGGAAAACAGCGCATTGGAGAAAAGCAGCAGATACCTTAAAATTGTATCGAGGGCATCCACGGTCTAGTCTAGGAACGTTTTTCTTGCACAGTAAAACATTATAGTTCTGAATTATACAAGCCTGTCCCAGAATGCGGGGTTAGGCAATTGCAGGGAGAAGAAGAAGAAAAAAAAGCAGTTGTCAAAACACTGAATTACTTAGGGGCAGGGCGAGAGAACAGTGGCGGGCGAGGGCAAGGGGTACAGTGAGGACTTGAGCTGCATTTTTGTCTCTTCGTTCCTTAACTTGGCACTTCATCTACTCGGGGTGGTCCTATGCTTTACGCATTCTAGTATATCGAAAACACCTGACAACATTTTCATAGGGAAACCGAAGCACCAAGCAGCCCCGCAG